AAGTGATGATTAAGATACTGTAGCATGGGCACAAAAATAAAGAAATAGACCAATGGGACAGAAACAATTCCATGCATGTACAGTCATCTGATATATGAGAAAGATAGCATTCTGTTATGGTGAAAGAAAGGAGATTTTAAGGATGGTATAAAATTGTGTCAAAAATTGTATTGACTCCCCCCATCTCATATCACACATATTTCCAGATGAATTGTAGATCTGTATGTGATGTGAAAGATAGAAATATCAAGTTTGCAGAAGAAAACACAAGGGAATAACTTCAATAGCCTTGGTGAAGGCAAAAGATTTTTTAAACATGACACAAAAAGTGCTAACAAAAGGGAAAACAATGATAATTAGGACTACATTAAAGTGAACACTTCTATTCATCAGAAGAAACTCTTGAGGAATTGAAGATTAGATAATAACAAAATTGGATTGATTCCATCTTACTTGAAAAATTGTAGACATAATTCCTCTTCTTATTTCTTCTCTCTGGGCTAATAGCCACTGATAGATGCCTCATGAAACAGAACCTTTACAGTATTCTGAACAGCTTCCCCATCTTCCTACAAAAAATATTTTTGGTTGTCTCTAGGATTTCATTAATTATAAAAACACACACGCCTGATCTACTGTCATTATTAAAGGCGACTTTACGCATGTTTGTCAGCAAATGGATTGTTTTGAACCCTACACACATGTTATCTATAATAATAAAAGCATAATATGCTAATTAGACCAGACGTCCTTCCAAACAAAGCAAAGCTGGGGCTGCGAGGGAAACCCGAGTCCCAGGTGCCAGAAGGAAGCCGATGCTGGCAGCTGGGGGAAGGAAGGCCTACTCTTTTTTTCTTTTTCTTTATTTTTCTTTTTTAATAAATCTTTATTCAGATTATTGCAGTTGTTCCTCTTTTTCCCCACATAGCTCCCCTCTGGTTCCTACCCCACCCCCTACCCTTACCCGCCACTGTCCTCATCCATAGGTGTACGATTTTTGTCCAGTCTCTTCCTGCAACCCCCACACCCACTTCCCCCCAAGAATTGTCAGTCCACTCCCTTTCTTGGCCCTGATCTATTCTATTCACCAGTTTATTCTGTTCTTCAGATTTTTTATTCACTTGATTTTTAGGTTCACTTGTTGATAGATACGTATTTGTTGTCACTTTGTTGTTCATAATTTTTATCTTTACCTTTTTCTTCTTCTTCCTCTTCTTAAAGAATACCCTTCAGCATTTCATATAATACTGGTTTGGTGGTGATGAACTCCTTTAGCTTTTCCTTATCTGTGAAGCTCTTTATCTGACCTTCAATTCTAAATGATAGCTTTCCTGGGTAGAGTAATCTTGGTTGTAGGTTCTTGCTATTCATCACTTTGAATATTTCTTGCCACTCCCTTCCGGCCTGCATAGTTTCTGTTGAGAAATCAACTGACAGTTGTATGGGTACTCCCTTGTAGGTAACTAACTGTTTTTCTCTTGCTGCTTTTAAGATTCTCTCTTTGTCTTTAGCCCTTGGCATTTTAATTATGATGTGTCTTGGTGTGGTCCTCTTTGGATTCCTTTTATTTGGGGTTCTCTGCACTTCCTGGACTTGTAAGTCTATTTCTTTCACCAGGTGGGGGAAGTTTTCTGTCATTATTTCTTCAAATAGATTTTCAATATCTTGCTCTCTCTCTTCTTCTGACACCCCTATAATTCGGATGTTGGTACACTTGAAGCTGTCCCAGAGGCTCCTTAAACTATCTTCATATTTTTGTATTCTTTTTTCCTTTTGCTTTTCCAGTTGGGTGTTTTTTGCTTCTTCATATTTCATATCTTTGACTTGATTCTTGAGATCCTTTAGTCTGCTGTTGGACCTCTGTATATTAATCTTTATTTCAGTCAGTGTATGCTAAATTTCTAATTGGTCCTTTTTCATATCCTTGAGGGTCTCACTATACTATTTCTTGCAGGTTTCTAGAAGATTCTTGAGTAACCTTATAACTGTGGTTTTGAACTCTGTATGCAGTAGTTTGCTTTCCTCCATTTCTTTCATTTGTGACCTGTTTCTTTGTCTCCACATTTTGGCTGCTTCCCTGTGTTGATAGAGTGGCTTTGTGTGCTAGGTGTCCTATAAGACCCTATGGCTCAATCTCCCTAATTACCTGAGGTAGACACTCTTGGTGCACCCCTTTGTGGGCTGTGTGCACAGTTTTATTGTAGTTAAGCCTCGATTGCTGTTGGCATCACTGGGAGGAATTGACTTCCAGGCCAATTGGCTATGAGGACCAGTTGTGTCTACAATGGGAGAACTCCTGTACTGGAGATACCCAGTACAGGGTAGGACTTGCTTCAGTGGGCAAGGACTTGCTTCAGTGGGGCTTTGGCACTCACTGAGTCTGCCCCGCTGAGTGTGTCTCTTATGAATGTGAAGAGCTGTAATCTGGACGGTCTCACTCTGACCATTGGTTACACTGGCTCTTGGATTTCCAAGGATGTGCAAAGTCAGCCACTGCCTGAGGCCACCCAGCAGGAACTACAGAGAGATCTGTAGATTTCTCCTCTTTGTTTGGGGTTTGGAGGTGCCCAGATGAGGTGCAGCTGTGAAGCAATGTAAGCTGCTGACGAGTCTTAGGCCTTCTTTTGGAAGATCTGGGGTTCTCTGACCAGCTGCAGTTTGACAGGTTTTTAGGTGGAGAAAGGCCAGGCCATTCGTATGCAAAAGCCTCTGTGCACAACTTGGGTGGGGTTGTAAATTGGGTGGGACAGGGTCTCAGAATCACCAGGGTGGAGCAAACAGCAATGGCTGCCAGTCAGCCCTGCCCCGCATAGGTCCCGGGTCTCTGTGTCCCGCAGCCCCATGCAGGAACAATGATCGCTGCAAGCACCTCTGTGAGAAAGCTGCCCTCAGGTTCCGGCCCGATGCCAGACAGTCCAGCTTCTCTCCGTATGAGTCTGGGTCCCCAGATTCTCACCCGGAACTGGAGTTCAGAGCAGTCGGGAGCTTGTATCACCCTCCCGATTGAAAAAGACAACAGCGCACCCCGCTGTCAGCCCCTCTTGCGCGCCTCCGCACCTCCGCTCTTCTGCACCTCTGCACCTCCTACATGACTCAACGCTCTTTTCTCTTTCCTCCTAGTTGTAGAATTTCTACTCAGCCAGCCTCCCTGTGGTTCTGGATGATGTTTGTTTTGTCTTTTAGTTGTAGTTTTAATGTGGTTGTGCATGGCAGCAAGTTCAGGTGTTTACCTATGCTGCCATCTTGGTTGTCTCCCTGGACTCAAGAAGGCCTACTCTTGCACAAATTTCATGCATCGGGCCTCTAGTATAAATATATAAAAAGCCAGCGACTGTAACACCGTAACGACCAGAATGACTGGTCTCTATGACGCTCACTGTGGCCAGCAAACTGCCCAGTCAGGGGGTGGGGCCAGCCGACCATCCTCCTGCAACCCCTCCCCCCAGCCGCCCCACCCCTGATTGCCATCCCCTACCCCAATAGGGGGCGAGGCCTCTCCCACCCTGATCAGGGGGCAGGGCAGGTCGGCCAACCTCCCACGGTCCCTCTCCCTGGCCGGCCCAACCCCTGATTGCCATCTCCTACCCCAGTAGAAGGCAAGGCCTGCTGGCCAACCTCCTGCAGCCCTTCACACCACCTGGCCCCACCCCAGATTGGTCCTCCGGCCCCAATCAGGGACAGGGCTGGCTGGCCAACTGCCTCTGACCCCTCCCCCCGGCCAATCCTGCCCCTGATAGGCCTGCAGCCCCTCTCTTCAGCCAGCTCTGCCCAATTGGCCCCTCCCCACACCAATCAGGGGTGGGACTGGCTGGCTAACCTCTCACGGCCCCTCCCCCAGCCACTGATCCCTGACCGACCCCGTCTACCCCATTTGGGGCAGGGATGGCCGGCCCACCACCCACAGCCTCTCCCCACAGCTAGACCAGCCCCCAATCGGCCCCCCCAACTCCAATCAGGTGCAGGTCCGGCCAACCTCTCACCATCTTCTTCTCCCGACACACCTGGCCCCAATCCGCCCCGATCTGGGCCTGGCTGGCCAGACCCCACCCGCGCACAAATTTGTGCACTGGGCCTCTAGTCTCTAATAAATGCGTAATATGCTCATTAGACTGGATGACCCTCTGGATGAAGCCACAGCGGCAGGGGCTGAGGCAGAGGCTGCTGCAGCGGCAGCAGGGGCCGAGTCCTTGCACGATTTTTGTGCAGTGAGCCTCTAGTAAGCCATAAAAGCTGAAGCTCCTTCCCAGCGTGCATTTATAATCCCAAATTACAATCTTGTGCTAGTATTTTATCTCACGTTGTGTCTGAATCAATGCTATCGCTAATGCTTGCAAAGTAAGGATGGAGATTTATTATTCAACAGCACCCCACTCATGGGTGTATGTAATATTTGTTTGATATTACTTGATTGAATGACTATACTGGAAGATCCACAGTTATAGATTGTACGCTAGCAAATACAGTTAGAATTTTTTTTTCGTGTGTGTATAAATAAGTGAAGAACTTTTTTTTACTTATTTGAATTTTCCAAATTTGTACAATGATCCTGTGAGGATCCTAGAGGCCTGGTGCACTTAACAAGGGCAATAAAATAAGAAACTAATGACCTAATATATCAGATACAGACTAATTTTAAATTTAGTTTTGAACCTTGGTACATCTTTAACTTTACCTGACTGGTAAGTACTCTTTTCTTGTATTCTAGCCATATAATTTATGTACTTACACCTAAAAGAAAGAAGTCTGCTTGACATGGCTTTTCAGTCCACATGTTGTTCTCTGGCGACTTATCTGCAGCTCAAACCTTTTTCCAGGATTACTGTTAAAAGACATGCCTCTTTCTGCTTCTAGTTTAGATAGAAGTGTCTTCCTTACCAAGAAGAAATCAAATAACACATACATGGCACAAACTAAGTAAAGTTGAAGTTTTAAAATTCTTTATTATATTAACTTTAGTAATCTTAGTAGATGAATATAAACTAGTTAGTAATCTGGTTTGGTCACTGAAAAAAATGAAACATTTTTGAAATCTCAACTGTGTAGTATGCAGACTAGAACTAATTATGCTTTCATCGCTTTAAGAAAGCAGTATGATTATAAGAACCTTCACTGCTGCTCTATGGCTTCTAAACTACGGAGGAGAGATGAAGTCAAGCTTCTGAGGAAATCCCAAGGCAACTAACTGCAGACAAACAATGTCTGGAAAGCTGCAGGTAGAATTGCATTACATGAAAGCTCAAATCTGCTTCAAAACCTGGGCTACTTAAGTCTAAAATTAAATTCACATTTTCTTACAAGGAAATTAGAAGCATATAAGAAACTATTAACTCTATTTTGATTCCCAACAGTTATTTATAACCTTCTCAGAAAATTTTGTATTAGGCGTAGAAGTTTTGTTTGCTATTCTGTTACTTATGAAGTTACAACCTACTTCAATTATTCAAAAATGAGAGTAGCATTTGTGTATACAGTCACAGTTTAACCGAAAGGTAGTTAACTTGAATTTCTAATTGGGAATGAAGAAAGGTGTTAAATGTTTTAAAAATGTGCAATAATATAAACAATGGTTTGATAACATCTAGCATTAATGCAATATAAAGGTTAACTGTTTTAAGACCAAACTCAACAGACTGACTTTTAAAGAACACAGCTATCTTAATTCATTAAAGTGTGTTTCACTGCTGCTATGATATGTCTGGCACTGATTCCAAACATATCCAGCAATTCGCAAGGTTTCCCACTTCGAGGGACTCCTGACACTGCCAGCTGATGAACAAGGATGTCAGGCTCCCCACACACAGCGGCACATACTGCTTCTCCAATGCCACCTTCCCGGTAGTGATCTTCCACTGTGACAACCCGACCGCCTGTAGCTTTTGCATTGGAGATGATGGTGGCAGCATCCAGGGGTTTAATGGTAAATGGGTCAATGACACGGATGGAAATATCTTGTTCAGAAAGACGGTCAGCAGCTGCTAAGGCTTCATGCAGAGTAACCCCGGCTCCAATTACTGTGACTTTGTCATTGACACTGCGGCGGATGACCTTGGCCTGTCCAATCTCAAAATGTTCTTCTGGGGTGTAAATAACTGCAATTTCTGGTGGGCCAGTCCGAATGAAGCACATGCCTTTGGCATTGGCGGCCAGGCATATAGCGTGCTCTGTCGAGACGGCATCGCTTGGGTAGAACACAGTGCAGTTGGGGATGCTCCGGAACATGGCTAGGTCCTCCAGGGCCATCTGGGAGGGTCCGTCCTCACCAATGGAGAGCCCGCAGTAGGAACCAATCAGGTTGATGTTGGTTTGAGAGATGGCCCCCATGCGGATATGATCAAACGCCCGGGTCAAATAGGCCGCGAAGGTGCTGACAAAAGCGACGGTGCGGTCGCGCGTGGCACAGCCCAGCGCCACGCTCACCATGTTTTGCTCGGCCATGAAGCACTCGATGAAACGCTCGGGGTGCTCCTTCTTGAACATCTCGGAAAAGGTGGCGTTCTTCGTGTCCCCGTCCAGGACAATGACCCTTTTATTGGCATGGCCCAGTTTGGCCAGAGCCAAACCGTAGGCCCTGTCGGTCGCCATCTTGTCCCCCACTTTGTAAGCGGGCAGCGAGGCCATCTTGATGTTCTTGATGCTGATGCGGGGCGAGTCCTCCACGGGCGGCCTGGGCGTCAGGTTCCTGTTGGTCTGGATCTGGCTCTCAATCAGCTTGATGATGGCGTCGGCTCTCTCCTTGGGCATCGGCTTCCCGTGCCAGTTCTCGGAGTCCTCCACGTTCGGGATGCCCCGGCCCTTGAAGGTCTTGGAGACGATGGCCGTGGGCTTGTTCTTCACCCGCGCCGCCTGCCAAAAGGCGTGGCACAGGGCCTCCACGTCGTGGCCGTCCACCAGGTAGGTGGTCCAGCCGAAGGCCTCGCAGCGCTTCTGGTACATGTCGGTGCAGTGCTCCAGGGGCGTGGGCCCGCTCTGCCCCAGGCGGTTCACGTCGAAGACCGCCACCAGGTTGTCCAGACTGTAGTGGGAGGCGAAGGCCAGCGCCTCCCAGATGGAGCCCTCGGAGGACTCGCCGTCGCCCAGGAGGCAGAAGACGCGGTAGCTGGCCTTGTCGAAGTACTTGCCGGTGTAGGCCATGCCGCACGCGGCCCCCAGCCCCTGCCCCAGCGACCCGGTCGCCACGTCCACGAAGGCCAGCCGCGGCGTGGGATGCCCCTCCAGGTCACTGTGGATCTTGCGCAGGCTCAGCAGGTCCGCCTCGCTGATGTCGCCCACCTCCGCCCAGGCGGCGTAGAGGATGGGCGCGGCGTGGCCCTTGGAGAGGACGAACCGGTCGTTGTCCGGGTGTTCGGGCTCCGCCTGCTTGTACCGCATCGTGTGGAAGAAGAGCACCGACATGATCTCGGCGGCGCTGCAGCACGACGTGGGGTGGCCGGAGCTGGAGGCGCACGTGGCCCGGATGGAGTGGATCCGCAGGCGGTTGGCCAGGTCCCGCAGCACCTGCACGGTGTCCGCGTCGGGCTTGGGGTCCTCGGCCACGGAGGCCACGGCGGCGCCGTCCATGGTTCCCGCAGAGCGGACGGCGGCGGCACTGTCCATGGTTCCCGCAGAGTGGACGTTGGCTGCAGCCCCTCGGCCGTTAAGTCAGTCACGTTAAGTCACGTGACGCCCACGTCCTTGCCCCGCCTCCTCGAGGTCAGGAGGTCAGCAACTGCCTGGCCAGGGCTTGCGTGCGTGCGTGCGTGCGTGCGTGCGTGCGTGCCAGACTTTGTCGCGAGAGTGCGTGCGTGCGTGCGTGCGTGCCAGACTTGGTCGTGAGACTGACCACTGGGATGCACCTCCTGCCTCCGAATTCTTCCCCCACGGGACTGTGACTCTGCTGCTTTTTCTGCACGTGACCATCTCCTTCCAGGCCCAATGGAATGAGTTTTAAATATGTGCTTTGTTACTTACATGTTCAGCATTATTAACAATGGCTAAATGTTTTGATACCTTTCCTCATGTTATACATTCAAAAGGGAGTTATATCCATATGTTATAGGAAACTATTCGTGAGGTTGTGGTTCTTTTAAATGCATTGCTTCTGTTTTGGAAACATCACTCTTTACAGCAGAGCATCGATAGACATTATCTAAAGTCGCTTTCAGTCCAGCCAATTATGGAGATACTATGTCAACATAGGCTTTCTTAGAGCAATCAAAGATTCCGACTTCGAGATAAAAGTACAATGACAAATTTGGCCAAAAATTACAAGATCAAATCCAAAACTGCTCAATGTCAGGGTATCTAGAACCGCAGTTTCCCCCAGTATACCCTAAAATACTATTACTGTTACTACAAATAATTTTTAAAACAAAATTAATTTACTGACTTAATTATAAAAGTAAGTTTATGCCATTGAGTTCTTCTAGCGGGCAAGGGTTCTAGCTTGCCATCAAAAAAATGAAACACGACAGGATGTCATCTCCCATGCTTTGATGTTAAACATCGTGATTCCCGAGTAATAATTCTTAACGTTGACTTCACATTAAAATCATGACACTGAAAAAAATAAAAAATAAAAACCAACCAAACAAAAACAATACTGGGTTCCACCCCAGACAAACTGAATTTGAATTTCTAGAAGTAGAGTTGGGAAGCTATATTTTTTAAATGCATGCATTGTTTCTAATGTGTAGTCAAAGTTGAAAATAGTCATCTGCAGATGGACTAGTGGTTCCTAACACTGGTTGTACTTTAGAGCTATCTGGGGAGTTTTTAAAAATCTCATGTCTGGGATGCACTCCGAACCAATTAAATCAGAATTTCTGGGTGATGTGTCTGGGCAGCAGTAATATTAAAAGCTCCCTGGAGGATTTCAGTGTTCACTCAGGTTGTAAACAACTAACTCGGGATTTTGCTACTCTTTATATGTCCCTTACTTTATAACTCAGAAAAAAATATTTTAAATGTTATTTGCCATTTAAACTAGTTTCGTTATTTTCAAGGATGCCTATTCAAATAAATCATAATAGTATGACAATAACAAGATTTTAATACTTGCCAAAGGAATGTTGGAAAGAAAAGTCCTTAAGAGGTCATCTTAAAAAAAAAAAAAAAAAAAAAAAAAGAGAGGTCATCTTGTATTCCTCACTCCCAGTGCCCTTTGCAAATTAATGTTCACTTATACTTTTAGAAAAAGGAGAAGAAAAGAAAAACAAAGTACAGTTGGACTAGGAGTAAAGATAGGAATTAGAGGAAAAAAAACACATTCAGCAAACAACTAGGGACTGACTGGAAAGCAGTTAATATTAACAAAGGTAACTCACTATTATTTTGGCTGTGAAGAGTCCTAATAAATCCAATTAGTAAACATGATAATTTAAAAATGATCTGTGAGATAGTGTTCATATGAAAAAAGACCAGATAAATAGGACCTGCTTTACATTTCTTTTCAAGTTCCCAAATTCTTTTTTTTTTTATTTAAATCTTTATTGTTCAGATTATTACATTTGTTCCTCTTTTTTCCCCCCCCATAACTCCCCTCATCCCAGTTCCCGCCCCACCCTCCGCCCTCACTCCCCACCCACTGTCCTCATCCATAGGTGCACGATTTTTGTCCAGTCTCTTCCCGCATCTCCCAAACCCCTTTCCCCTCCAGGAATAGTCAGTCCATTCCCTTTCTATGTCCCTGATTCTATTATAATCACCAGTTCATTCTGTTCATCAGATTATTTATTCACTTGATTCTTAGATTCACTTGTTGATAGATGCATATTTGTTGTTCATAATTTGTATCTTTACCTTTTTCTTCCTCTTCCTCTTCTTAAAGGATACCTTTCAGCATTTCATATAATCCTGGTTTGGTGGTGATGAACTCCTTTAGCTTTTCCTTATCTCTGAAGCTCTTTATCTGACCTTCAATTCTGAATGATAGCTTTGCTGGATAAAGTAATCTTGGTTGTAGGTTCTTGGTATTCATCACTTTGAATATTTCTTGCCACTCCCTTCTGGCCTGCAAAGTTTCTGTTGAGAAATCAGCTGACAGTCGTATGGGTATTCCCTTGTAGGTAACTGAGTTTCTTTCTCTTGCTGTTTTTAAGATTCTCTCTTTATCTTTTGCTCTTGGCATTTTAATTATGATGTGTCTTGGTGTGGTCCTCTTTGGATTCCTTTTGTTTGGGGTTCTCCTCGCTTCTTGGACCTGTAAGTCCATTTCTTTCACCAGGTGGGGGAAGTTTTCTGTCATTATTTCTTCAAATAGGTTTTCAATATCTTGCTCTCTCTCATCTTCTGGCACCCCTATAATTCTGATGTTGGTACGCTTGAAGCTGTCCCAGAGGCTCCTTACACTATCCTCGCATTTTTGGATTCTTTTTTCATTTTGCTTTTCCGGTTGGGTGTTTTTTGCTTCCTCGCATTTCAAATCATTGACTTGATTCTTGCGCTCCTCTGGTCTGCTGTCGGGAGTCTGTATAATATTCGTTATTTCAGTCCGTGTATGCTTAATTTCTAGTTGGTTCCCCAATATAAGATCGAGGGTCTCCTTAGTTGTCTTGTAGATCTCATTAAGTTTATTGGCGGCTTCTAAACAGTTCTTGAGAGACCTTAAAAGTGTGGTTCTGAACTCTATATCTTCCATTGACAATTTTGTCCTGTTTCTTTGTCTCCACATTTTGTTATGCTTCCTTGGTGCACCCCCTAGTGGTCTTTGTTCGCAGTCTTATAGTTAAATCTTGATTGTTGTAGCTAATTCCAGGGAGGGTTTGACCTCCCGGCCAAGTGGCTATGAGAATCAGCTGTGTCAGCAGTGAGAGAACTTCTGTCCTCTAGGGAGGTGCTAATCTAGCCTTTGCCTGAGGCTATCCGGCAAATGCCTGTGTGCAGGGCTTGGGCGGGGCGGGTCGCACAGGATCAACAGGGTGGGCCGGAGAGAGCAGTTATGGCGGCTCTCAGTCCTGTCCCCAGGGGCTCTGCCTCTCTGAGTCCCAGCACCCGCTGCAAAGCTCAGAGAGAAAGCTGCACTCGCTCTGACCGAAGCCAGACAGTCCCGCTTCTCCCGTTTGAGTCAGGGTCCCTAAAGACTCGCCCGGATCTGGAGCTCAGATTCTGCGACTCCCTCCTGATTGAAAACGCCAACCGCGCCCTCCGCCGCCAGCCCGCTGCACGCACTCCGCACCTCAGAATTTGACTTCAGCACTGCACCTCCTCTGAGTGTCCGTATGCGTTTCTCTTTCCTCCTAGTTGTAGGACTTCCACTCAGCCAGCGTTCCTGTGGTTCTGGGTGATGTCCCTTCCGTTTTTTGGTTTCACTTTTGAAGTAGTTGTTCAAAGCAGCAAACTCCGGCGTTAACCTATGCCGCCATCTTGGTTCTCCCCAAATTCTTCCATTTAAAGCATTGCACAACTATTTCCCAAAGTATTAAATAGAAAGTCTTTAACATTACAAAAGGTCAGTTTTGTTAAGAAAAGAATCTGGTCTTGGAGATTTAATACTCTAGGTCCATGGTCGGCAAACTGTGGCTTTCGAGCCACATACGGCTCTTTGGCCCCTTGAATGTGGCTCTTCCTAAGCCTTAGGAGTACCCTAATTAAATTAATAACAATGTACCTACCTATATAGTTTAAGTTTAAAAAATTTGACTCTCAAAAGAAATTTGTACTGTTGATATTTGGCTCTGTTGACTAATGAGTTTGCCGACTACTGCTAGGTAGTGAATATGAATTCCCTGTTGTCATTCTATAAGACTGTATTTTTATACTATAAAGAAAATAATATTTTGTAAATTACATGTAAAATATTTTAAAGTGATATATTTTTTAAAAGTCTGGAAAGTTATGTATTACTTTTTAATATTTCCTTTAAGCATTTTCACTTTTTAGTTTATATTTACAAGTATACAATTGAAAATAACCATATAAGTATAGAGTATGCTGATAATGTAAAATTACATAATGTGGCTGTGAACACAACTTAGCCAAATAAATCAAAGACATGATACCACATTCTATTTTCCCTATTAAGAAGAAGTTATCACTGGTAAAAGGCGAGCCAAATATTTTTAAGTCAACATGCCAAGAATTAGTTGTCTTGGAAAAATGTCCATTACTCATTTTAGAGATCATTTTGGAAGACAGTCAAAAGCTTTCTGCAAATAGGAAGAAACTATTCATTTATTATTTTTTGGTTTATCCACATGAAGTAGGGATTGGCAAACTCAAGTGCCTACTGGGCTAGAAAGGTACCATGAATTTATGTCAGATGTTATATGAGAAGGATCCTTTGACAAACTAGAGAATATAAACCCATTTTATAAAGGCATTTAAAATATAAAGGCATTTAAAATTTAAAAATTTCTGAACACTGTGTTGGAAAAAAAATAACACAAAACATATCCTCAAGGTGCCAGTTTTGATCCTTGATTTAAAATCTATTAAAAATAAATGTTTTATCTTACCTTTGTGTAATTTATTTGCTAATTTTATTCTAATAGTATGGAAAAGTACTTATGGTAGTGTGTACTGCAAATAGAAATAAAACCTATCAGCATCACTAATTAAAATAGCTTTGGAGAGAAAATATAAATTGCAGAATTGGTAAGTTCAATTTCTACTTGGTTTTAGTAGAGGAAACAACACACATAGTGATTATTTCAGAGGTGTACAATGATTTGTGGGAAAAAAATATACACATATTCACTTTGTGAGGGTGAGTTGTTTTTAGAGATTAGGAACACTTAAGTTTACTTATATTTTATCTAAGCTGTTGAGTTTTGTTAAAATAAAACTTTGTAAAAGAAATATACAAATGCTGAGTTCATTTTTTTCCTTCCATGTTTTGAATTAGTTTAGTAGGCTGAGTATGTAGCAAGTGAGGATAAGATTCTTGTGTAAGACAATAGGTTTGGGGGTGGGTAATGTATTCTTGTAAGCATTGTAAATAGTATTCTAAATAGTCCTGTTAGGTCAAGTTGTTTTGTGGTTGTTTTCAAAATCATTTTTAACATTTTACCAGATTTTTTCCTATTAATTACTAAAAAAGGTAATTTGCCACCAAGGCAGTTGGTTTTTCTTTCTTGAAAATTTATCAGTTCTTTTCCATTATATATCTGGAGCAATATTATTAAGCACACATATATTTAAAATAGAAACGTTTTATCTTTATGAAGTAATCTTTTCTATCTACCATAATCCTTCTTGACTTTGTCTTTTTTGTTTAATATTGATGTATCTATACTAACATTCTTTTCATTAGTATTTGTTTAGCATACCTGTCCCACCTTTGATTTTTAAATTTTGTTTCCTTATATTTTAGATATCTCTTACAAACAGGACATAGTTGTGTGTTTTAAATACAATATAATACGTTGATATTTTAATTAGGGCACTTAGTCCACAACCATATGGATTTAAATCTACCACCCTATTTTTATTTTCTATTTCCCTTACCTTCCTGTTTCTCTTTTTTATTTCCCTGCTTTGAATGTGGTTTTAAAAAATTATTCCATTTATTTTCTCTGTGTCCTGTTTCTATTCTTTTAATGGTTGCCCTAGAAATGAAGCGTGTATTCCCATTGTAACTGTATCTAATGTTAACAAATACTTAACCAGTCTACACAAACACACACCTCTCTCTGCATTTGTCCAAGCTCAGGGAAGTATCTCGAAAGATGTCTGCACACAGTAGTTGTTGGGTGACGGAGAGTGGGATTGGAGAGGAGGACCAGGGGGGTTCATTTTGTCAGTCCTGAGCAGCCCCGGGGGAAGAGGCCCATCTCCGCGAGCCCCCGGGAGAAGAGCCCAAGAGAAGAGCCTCCTCCGGCCCGGAGTTGTGCTCCTGGCTGATGCCCAGGACCCGCGTCCTGGCCTGGGGCGCCCCGAGCCTGAGCGTCCGGCGTCAGGGGGCCGGATTCATCCTCCGGCCAAGCTCCCGCCCTCGCGCTCCGCGAACACGCGGGGCGGCTGCCGCCGGGCTGGGACTTCAACGCCAACGCGGGCGATAAAAGACGAGATCGCAGTTCCCCCGAACGTTTTAGAGCGACGTACTCGCCCCGCCCCTTCCGGTCGGGTCCGCCGGCTTCTCCGGACCACACGTGTGTTCTGCTAGGATCCCGTGTGAGCTGAGGCGCCGCCGTCGGTGAGGCTGCCCGACGTGGAGTGCGGAGGTCCCCGGGGCGCGAGGACGTCACCATGGTGGGCCCCTCCCGCTCCTTGGAACCCGTTTGGCTCCCGAGATGGCTCCCGATCGGGGAGGCAGGGGGAGGTCTGGGGAAGCTGGGAGAGAGGAGCGCGCGAAGTGATTGTCCCAGGGGGTGCCCCGAGATTGGAGGCCGGGAGGAGGGTCCCAGCCAGGCGTCCGGACCTGGAAGCTCTGCTCCCGAGTTCCCAAGTCCTCGCAGGCGGCCTGCCCCTTCTCGCCTCCATCCTGCTTAAGTTCTTCCCCGTCGCGGAAAATCCGCAGCTGCACGTGTTCTCGCTATTGCTATTCGGCCAAACTCGTAAACACGCTGCTTCCGTGCCCTGTGCCGCTCCTCCTGCCCGTGTGGGCTGCGTGGGCTCCGCCGCCGCCTCCTTGGTCTCCAGGCACCGCCCTCCAGGGCCCCACTCTCGCCCCAAGTCCTGCCTCCACGCCCCCGAAGGCACTGAAACGTGTTTTCATTAAAAACTGAGATGGGAAAGAGTATTTATGTAAGGCCCACTGAAGTGTAAAGACGAGCGGTATAAGGAACGCGTGTTTATCCATTATCCGGTTTAAGACGTAAAACGTAGCTTTTGCAAGCCTCTGTGTGCCCCGTGATTAACCATCAGGAGCCCTTCAGAGGTCAGCAGTATCCAAATTCTGTGTTTGTAATTCCCTTGCTTGCCTTTATGGTTACCACTTATGTTTGCATCCCCAAACTGTTTCTTGTTTCTTGCTTTTTTCACTTATGTTCTTGAGAATCATTCTTAAATAGGAACATGTTTTATAACAACTAGTGTTTAATAAAAGCTTGGGATACTCTGGCTATAACGTACGTCTTTTTCCTCTTCCACGGATCCTTTGTTCTTGTTGTGGGGCTGTTTCTGTCTTTCATGTCTACAGGCTTTTGGCTTTAGATTATAGTCATGTTTGTGTACATTCAGTTTTTGTTTCTCGTTACGCTTGTGCTATTTCCAGCCTCTTTCAATTTCCTTTTATAGCCTTCCCTTTTCAGAAAGGAACATTAAAACATTAATAATGGGATTGGAGGTGAGTGATTCGGGTTGATTGGCATTCGCCTGCCGTCCTTGTCTATGAGAACTTCACTTTGGTCAGGCTGGATAGAGGAGTGTATTGCCTTGTAAGAGTAAAAAAAGGGGCATATGAGTCTGTTCTCTTTGGCACATTTCCCGCCCTTTCGTTTTTCTGGTTTATCTCCTGTGACTGCTACGTCCTCTCTTGTACTTAAACTCAGCTTGGAACTGGGAGTTTTCCATCCACATCCTTTATATCAGTTCCTCTAAACTTCGTTCAGTGCAGCTCAGAATGTGGGCGATGGCATCGCAGAGGACTGAGTTTGGCACCTGTATCTTTACTAAATGATGATCTTGGCGAACTTACTACACCCCTCTTAGTGGTCATGCCTATTAAATTGGGGAAACCATAAGTGCCTACCTCAGAGAATTGTGTAAACCAGTTATCCCGATGTCTGGTATTTAGTAAATGTTAGTTGTAATTAACTTTTGTAACAGTAGTCAATAGTAACAGTACAGTTTGTAGTTGTCCACTTTTGTTTTTTGTTCATTTATTTTCGTTTATTGTGAATCTTTCTTATAGCTTCAGAAGTTCATATAAAAATTTAACTAACATGACTCTTCAAATTCATCCCATGCAACATTTTTTATTCTGCATTTTAAAAAAGGTTCTAGTGCTTTTAAGTTTCGTGTGTGCTTGGCTACTAGGCAGGCACTCACAGGTATACTTTTTCTTTTTTTTTCTTTTTTTTGTATAAGCCCATTATTTGAGTTTAAATGTGCTTATCTACTTGGCTAGATTATAAACCATTAAAACATATGCCATTGTCCTCCCTTGATTACTGTGGGCATTAACTATAATTGACTACGTAAATATTCCTTAATGACAAGAATTGTGTGCTGTTGGTTTCACACCTACAAATGTGAGCTATAACAGCAAATCAGTTTAAACATCTTGGGGTGTTTTTTTTATTTGCTTGTTTGCTGTATTGAGATGTAATTGACATAACATTGTATAAGTTTAAGATATACATCGTGATTTGTTGAATATATTGTGAAATTGTTGCCACAGTAAACTTAGGTAACAATCCCACACTTCACATGTTACCTTTTTTTCCCTGTTGTAAGTACTTTTAAGATTAACTTTCTTTGTAACTTTCAAGTATGTACTATAATATTTTTAACTGTAGTCACCATGCTGTGCCTTAAATCCCAGAATCATCTTATAACTGGAAGTTTGTATCTATTGCCACCTATCCATTTCTCCCCCTCTCACCCCCACTTCATCCCTGACAACTACCTTTCTACCCCCAGTTTCTCTTTGTTATTTTTTATTTTAATAGGAATATGTGAAGCATATTGCCCCGGAAATACCTCTCTGTTGCCGTTTTTTGAGTAAACTGTATTTTCTTCTGTAACTCTCAATTCTGAATTCAAACAATAGTTTAGAATTTTCTGAAGTTTAGAATTTTCCCCACTAAAGATTGTGGGAAAAAGATACTTTCAGTACAAGTTTTCTGACTAGAATACTTCTGGGCCAGAAACTTTTTGAAGTATGATGTAGTCAGTTATTCAGAACAATCTATTAGTTATGCCTATGAAAAGAAATTTTATTTTTGCTATCTCTTTGAAAGTTAAATTTGGTATTTTTTAAAACATAAAATATTAATCTTCCATTGAAAGTACACTTTTAACTCCCCTAGTTTTGTTATCTGTTTATGTTCTGTATTATTCATGAATCATTAGACGCTCTACGAAATTCATTTGGAGAACCCCTGACCAATAGAGACTAATTGCTTTTTACTTAAGAGATATTGAATAGACTGCTTAATAGATTAACATTTTATTGACAGGGTTTTACTTCAGTTTCCCTGTTGAAGCATTTTGTTGTGTGTGGTTTTTTTTTTTGTGATATACTGAAAAATAGGAAAATGTTTTGAAATTTAGTGTTATTTCTGTGCCTTTTTAAATATACATACCCTGCCTTGAGGCAGCCTTTTTATGAATAAGTTATTAGAAGGAATCATAAAGCACACTTGAGTCAGAATACATGTTCAGTTTCTTTGTACTAAGTCTCGAAGGTTCTTTACCTGAGATCTTCTAAAGCTCTGTGGACATTTTCATACTCTAAGGGTATCAAAGTATTCTTTGTTCTAAATAAATTTTTTAAATCTTTAAAGAAACATTTTTATGGACCTAACTGTAGTTGTTAAGTTTTAGCAGCTTCAGATAGCATCTTTTTTTCTTTTTGTGACTTTCATTTTATTTGTTAGGATATGAAACAAAGATATCTTTTTAAAGAGCACATCTTTGCTTTATTTTGTTGTTGTTTTGGTTTTTGGTCTTGAATTAGTTGATCTCTCTGGGTAACAAGCTATTCCAAAATTTAATGGCTTAATACAATAGCATTTATTATCTCAGTTTCTGTGGGTCAGGGATCAGGCATGGTTTACCATGTCCTTGCCTCTAGGTTTCTTACAAGGTTGTCTTCAAGGTACAATCTGAGGCTTTAGTTTAACAGGGGTGGAGAATGTCTGGCCCAAGGGCCGTATAAGGCCTGCAGAATCATTTGGTCTGGCCCTGCCAAGGCATTAGGGATGAGTTAATTAAATGTTTGACCAAATATAGGAGGCTAATTTTTAAGTTGATAATTTTGTATGGCCTACAGATGATTTAAGTATCCAGATAGCCGTTGGCAGAAAAAGGTTCCCCACCCCTGGTTAACCCCAAGTAACAACTGGGAGGATCCACTTCCCAGCTCATTCACGTGGTTCTTGGTATATTCAGTGCCTCTTGGACTACCTGACAGGGCCTCAGTTCTTCACTAGTTATTGGCTGGAAGCTTCTAGGTAGTTGTCACATAGGCCTCTCCATAGGACAGCTCACGACATGATAGCTGGTTTCCATCAGAGTAAGTCAAGAGAGTAGGCAAGACAGAAGTCAAAGTCCTTTCTTTCAAAACCTAACCTCGTCTGCTTATGCCAAATGTTTACTAAAAGTGAGTCGCTAGGACTACGCTCAAAGGAAGAGGATTAGACATGAGCACGAATATCAGGAGGTGGGATTCATTGGGGACCATCTTAGAGGCAACCTACCATGAGTTCTGAAAGTTTTTACTTGATACATATTTGCTAGGTAAACTTCATGCAAAAATTTTTTTTATCACACCTTCCTCTCTTCCCTGCTCCTCATCTCCACAGGAGCAGAGGCACACAAAAGAATCCACATACTGTGTATGATGGTTTTACTCTTCCCTTATACCTGTAACCAATTTCCAGTGCCATCTTGTGTTGCAGACCTGGAGCTATCTTTTCTGGTCAGGTTATCAAGAAGCAAGCAACAAGTCTTTGTGGAATATTTTAGTAAATATTTGTTGAAGGAATGGGTACATGTGTGGATGAGGAATTGGTGGTCCTTTTCATTAATTCTGTCTGGAGAGTTTTACAAAGGAAGTTACTGTGAGCTGCGTCCTATCAAAGGACAAAGAAAAGTATTTTGTAGGCAGAGGTGACGGGTACAGTCTCAAGAACGTACAGAACAGTAAGAATGTTTAGTAAGAATGGGATGGTGGATATTGCGAAGGAAGAGAGCTAATGCTGGAGAAGTAGGTTGGGAGTAGATTGTTTTCCATGTTAAGGACTTGGACCTAACTGTCAGCTCCTGGAGTGAGTTAGTGTAGAAAAGTAAGCTCTTGTGACTTCCATGTAAAAAGGCCTGGCAGTGAGAACCTAAAGGCCATCCTAGTCATGAAAGGTCATGAAGCGGAATTAAAGCAATGGTAATATTTTGAAGAGCGTATTTTAGAAACATTTGACCTTTTTGAATATTAGGTATGTTAGAGACTGCTAGCTGTTTCCTAATAGACTCTTCTACAGCAATTTATATTTTCTGAGAATAAAGATTATATTTATTACTCTTTCTCATACAACTCTGATTAAATTTTGGTCAGTGGTATGCAAGCAGAAGACTGCAACTTCCCAGATCTTGCTCTTAAAGGAAAGGGGTATGCCTTTTGATTTTCTTTTCTCCTTCTCACTGGCTGCAGTTTAGACTTGGTGTTAAGTCATCTTGAACTGTAGGATGTCCCAAAAAAATGTATATATACTTTAACAACTGATAGCTGTTAAATGAAAAGGAAATGTATTTTAATAAACACCGCCTTTACATTACTCAAAGTGTGTGTATACATTGTTTTGGACACGCTGTATATGTATATATAGGAAGTTATAGTCTGGATCTCTGAGGGCTTTGTGGAGCAGAGCCTCTAGCTTCTACTTTTTACATGAGAGAACTTTATCTGGGTTAAGCCGTTGTTATTTTGGGTGTCTATTTAAATAATAAATAGGTGTAATAGGATACAGAGTTATGTAGGAATAGACTTACTATTAGAAATGTCTAGGTTTAGAGAACTGAATGAATTATTACCTAGATACCTGGCGTAAGGCTTGAATGGGAAAATAATTGTTTCCTTTGGGGGGGTGCTAATTTTGAGATGGCTCCTATTATTTCCTCTGTTCCTATTTTCCTATGTGCCCAACTTTGATTTTGTTTGATTCACTGCCCAATCTGTTCCATGTGCATCCTCTCCAGTAAAGCTCCTATTAATATCTTATGTTCTTTCTGCCCCCTTAACTTTCTTAACTGTAACACAAATTTCCAGTTGTAAGTCCCTTCACTCTCAGCATTCACTGTACCTACTTTGAAGAGGGAACAGCTGAAGAGCTGGCTTTATTGACCCTGTTTGTTTCTTTAATTTTTTTGCATCATGGAGAATAGTTCTGAATATATCATTTTTCTTATGACCATGGAAACAGACTGTTTGGATTATTATTTAAAAGATCTGGCTTATCTTCTGAATCCTGATGTTGTGTTTCAGGCTCAAAGTATTTCTGTTATGTTATTATTTTTAACATTTATTTCTGAAGAAAAATTTTTGACTTAAATTAGTTATATATCTGACTTATATGTATTATATGTTTTCCTACCTTTTAGCCTAAAGCACTAAAGGGAAAAGGTGTAGGACGAGAAAAAAAAGTCATCCATCCATATAGTAGAAAAGCAGCTCAAATTACGAGGGAGGCCCACAAACAAGAAAAAAAGGAAAAGTAAGTGTCTTTTTATTATTTGTATTGTGCTTTGGTGAAAAGCCCATTTATACATTTCTTCCTCATTAGTATTCTTTCTTTAAAAATTATATTAGCCCCGACTAGTGTGTTAAGTGGTTAGAGTGTTGGCCCGACCACCAAGGGTCATGGTTTGATTCCCTGTCAAGGGCAGGTATCTGGGTTGTAGACTCTATCCCTGGCCCCGGGGTGTGTGCGGGAGGCAACCAAACTATGTGTCTCTCTCACATCAATGTTTCTCTTTTTTTTTCTCCTTCCTTCTCTCCCTCCTTTTCTTCTATTCTCCCTAAAAAATATCCTCAGGTGAGGATTTACTAAATAAATAAATAAATAAGACATATGTTATGGGTTGGAGAGTGAGGACATGAATATGAAGAGGTAGGAATCAGTGGGGACCATTTTAAGATATTACCGCCTTTTGTTACTCTCTGCCTACCAAAGACACTTGGTTTTCTAAGGAACACAGGTAGTCAGGCAGCTTGGAATATCCATACTTTTTTCACAGAACCCAGGATTCTTTGTACCACTTCCTAAGGCAATGATGGCGAACCTTCTGAGCTCGGCGTGTCAGCATTTTGAAAAACCCTAACTTAACTCTGGTGCCGTGTCACATAGAAATTTTTTGGTCTTTGCAACCATAGTAAAACAAAGACTTATAGTTTTGATATTTATTTTATATATTTAAATGCCATTTAACAAAGAAAAATCAACCAAAAAAATGAGTTTGTGTGTCACCTCTGACACGTGTGTCATAGGTTTGCCATCACTGTCCTAAGGCTTCTTTTTAGGGAAGTAGAGGGGGCAGGGGTCTGGGAGGACATCTGTTAGGATGCAGTGCCTTTGTCCAGTGATAGAGAGTACAGACCCAGATCTGCTGGGTTGATCAGATCGACTCTTACTGATGGCCTCTGAATACTGAAAGATGTTGCAAGAGTGAATAGGAACAGAGTTAAGAGTTCAAACATGTTCTCATCTTCAGTATTTGAATGCTCTAATTTAGAACTATGTGAAATGCTGCTTCTGTTCATATTAAAGGAGATTGGTATGGTTTGAAGACCAGCACATTTCAAGTAATGCTTAATTTACAATAGTAGCAAATGGCTATTCTATATCATGATTTTAGTTTTATTTTAGGACTAGAGGCCCGGTGCATAAAAATTTGTGCACTCGGTGGTGGGGGGTGTCCCTCAGCCCGGCCTGCGCCCATTTGCAGTCCAGGACCCCTTGGGGGATGTCCACCTGTTGACTTAGGCCCACTCCCTGGGGGATCAGGCCTAAGCTTGCAGTCAGACATCATTCTGGCAGCCAGGGAGCCCCTCCACCCAGGGCTGCAGACGGGGGTCCTGGCTGGGGGCAGGGCTTTGGTGGCCCGTTCGCGCCGCCAAGCCCCTCGCCCAGGGCCGCAGATGGGGGTCCCGCCTGCCCAGGGCCGCACACAGAGGTCCCGGCTGGGGGCAGGGCTTAGGGGGCACATGGGGGCCCGGATGGTGGCTCACGCTGGCCCCCCCCCCCCCGCCTGCAGTATGCAAATTAGCCGCCATCTTTGTTGGTGGTTAATTTGCATATCACGCTGATTAGATAATGGGAGGTGTAGTGCAGGTACAGTCAATTACCATGTTTGTCTATTATTAGATTAGATATAGGATGTCCCTATTTCCCCCCTTTTGCCCCCTCTACCCAGCTCTTGCACCCCACTTCTCTTTGGCCATCACCATACTGTAGTCTGTGTCCATGAGTTGTGCATATATTTTCTTTGGCTAATCCTTTCTTTAAATTCACTTCTTCACATTTTTATTTTCAGATAAGTGCTTATAACTTTACTATTATATATTTTCTATTATATCATTTAGAATTAAGATATTTTTTAATTGAACCCTTGTAAATTTTTGCACAATTTAATAAATTATGCTAGAAGCAATTAGGAGATTTTTCATGTAATGCATACACATTTCAATTAATACTTTATTAATTTTAAATTTTTTAATATTTTAATTTGAAATAATCTCATACATGTAAAAAAAAACTATAAAATACTACAGCATATTATATGTACCCTTCACCCAATTTCTTAGGTGTTACTAATTTAAACATAACCATTATACAACTAACAAAATTTGGAATGTATTTTTCTTATAATCTCTTTAATGTTACTTAATCCATTTACTTTGTTTTTGTTAATCTTCACCCAAGGATATTTTTCCATTGAATTTTAGAGAGAGTGAAGGGAAAGGGAGAGATACATTGATTGGTTGCCTCCTGCACATGCTCTGATAGGGACTGGGGATCAAGCCAGCAACTGAGGTACATGCCCTTGACTGGAATCTAACCTGAGACCCTTCAGTTCATGGGCTAATGCTCTATCCACTGAGAAAAACAGGCTGCAGCTTAATTCATTTACTTTTAATCTATATGTGTCTTTATATTTAAAGTGGGTTTTGTTTTTGATTCACCCTCATAATCTGTCTTTTAATTGGTGCATTTATACCACTGACTTTTATAGTGCTTACTGATAGAGTTACTGCCATATCAGGCGGCTTCTGTGGCTTCTGGGGCCGGCCAGCAGCCTGGACCGGATCCAGTCCCGGGTGGCAGGCAGGCGGCTTCTGGGGCTGCACATGGGGCCTGGATGGCAGCTCCCGCTGGCGGCTCGTGCTGTCCCGCCCTGCCTGCAGTATGCAAATTAGCCGCCATCTTTGATTAGCCAATGGGAGTCATAGCGAAGGTACGGTCAATTACCATGTTTGTCTATTATTAGATAGGATTTCCCAGCATAGCAACATTTCATTATGTACTGTCATGTCTTGTCCCACAGGGTTATGTAGTAAGGAACTCTAGGCACTAAATGAAAATGACTTAGTATGAAAAGGTAACAAAGGAAAATTAAGTATAATGGGTAAGAATCTAGGAAACAACTACTTTTGAGAATTAATCTCATATCTCTCTACTGTTCTTTATCCCAACTCATTCTCTTCAGGTTCAGGCTGTCATTGAGTTCATTCAGCCTGACCACTCACTAGATTCTTCCCTTCAGGCTTATTTAAAAGGAATGAATTCTTCTCAAAGCCATTCTATACCCAGTTTTGAAGCATCTTTTTTTTTTTTTTAAGTCAACTTTGATGTATAAATAACATACAATCAAACAGACATATTTTAAGTGTACCGGTCTGGGGTTTTGATAATAAACTGGTGTAATCCCATGGTCAGTGTATAGTGTATTTTCATCTTCCCAAAAGATTCCCTATGCTTCTTCCCAATCTTCACTCCAGCCTCAGGCAACCACTGATTTGCTCTTTATTTTGATAGATGAGATTTGTCTTAATGTTTCATATAAATGGAATCATATTGTAGGTAATATTGTGTGCCAGCTTTTTTCACTTAGCATAATGTTTGTGAAATTTATCCATTTATTTCACATATTAGTTGTCTTTCTCTTTTATTACTGAATAGTATTCCATTGTATGTCTATGCAGTTTGTTTATCCATTCACCAGTTGATGGTCATTTGGATTGTTGAAAGTGTTTGGCTGTCATCAGGGTCTGCAAAATAAGGGCCCAACACTAGTTTTTATATAAAAAAGTTTTAGTGGAAAGTAGCTATGCCCATTCCTCTTGCATTGTCTGTTTCTGTTTTTGGGCTACAATGGCAGAGGCAAGTAGTTGCTACATGGTCCGCAGAGCCTAACATCTTACTATCTGGCCACTTAAGAAAATATTTGCCAGCCCCTACTATCGTAAATAAAGCTGCCATTAACATTCACATGGACATATATTTTCATTTTTCTTTTAGTTCCTAGAATTGGAATTGATGTATGTTTAAGAATATAAGAAATTAAGTTTATAAGAATTGTTGGTCATACGATAGGTGTAATGTTTAAGTATGTAAGAAATTGTCTTATCCAAAATGATCGTACCACTTTAGATTTTAATCACCAGTGTGTGTGTTACATTTGCTCCATATCCTCTCAAAAATATTATATTATCAATTTTTTTAAAATTTATTCAGTATAAGTAGTATTTCAGTGTGGTTTAATTTGCACACTTAGTAATTTTGATGGCTAACGATGTTAAGTATCTTATGTGTTTATTGGTCATTTGTATACCTTTGATTTGATGAAAAAAAATCTGTTGAAATCTTTTGTGCTTTTTTTAGTATTGGGTTATCTCATTAAGTAGGAAGAACTGTTTGTATATTCTGAATGCAAATCCTTTGTTAATTATTTATCTTGTAAATATTTTCTCCCATTCTATGGTTAAAATTTTTTTTATAAAAGAGGTTTTATTTTATTATCCACTTTTCCAGTTGTTTAAAGTACGAGAGTAAATCTGGTCAGCTTTCTTAGGGCAGGGACAGCATTCTTAGTGGGTGGCAAACACTAGCTAACAAAGCTCTCTTCTGGGTGACTTAGTATTTAGAATATAAACAAAAAGAGATACATAATGTCTAAACTGTTTTCTGAGAATAAATGAGTTCTTTGTTGTAATTTTTTTCAAATTTATGAATAGTAAAGATTCTGTTTTGTTCTTGTTGAAGTTTAAAAGTGACAGTAATGTGTTTTGGTTTTGGTGGCAGAACTTAGTCTTCTAGAAGGTATTAATTACGTCATCACCCTTTTGTGCACAATATTCTACAAAACCAACCTCAACATTCATAATCTAGTCAAGCGCTCATCTCTATTTGTATAAAACTTATTGTTTTATACATATCCTTTAGTCATTGAAGAGCTAAGAAAATTTTTCTAATAACATTTCATTCCAGTGATTTAAAAAAAAGCATGATGTTCAGTGCTTCCGTATTAACAATATTAATTTCATGTGTATGAAAGAATGATCTTTGAATTAAGGTTCTTTAGGCAGTTTTTCTTTTTGTTGTTTTGACAGATTTTAAAAACATGCTTTGGAAATTCTCTAACATACTTATGCACCTTTTCTTCCAAGGTTGAAGAATGAAAAGGCATTGCGGCTCAATCTTATTGGTAAGTGGATTTACTTATTTGACATTTTTGCTAGAGTATAGTGAAATTCTGCCCTATACCTATTTTTCTTTTGACTTTCCTAGTGAAATACTATTTTTATCTAAGTGAATTTTCTTTACCAGGCTTGATTAAAACAGTACAAAGTAAAATCAATTGTTAAACTCTTAAAACATCTATAATAATAAAAGCGTAATATGCTAATTAGACCAGAATCCTTCTGGACGACCTTCCAGACGAAGCCACAGTGGCGCGGGCTGAGCCCCTTGCACACATTTCGTGCATCAGGCCTCTAGTTGTTAATAATACCTAACTTTGTTTTTCAAAAATTGTTTGGTTTATAATCACCTACCTTTGTACCTGTCTACCTATTTGCTTTTGTCTGTCTGTTTAGCTATCTTTTTATGGCTGAAGTTTAATTCTGGCTCCTTAATCATTAGAATTATGGCCTAAGTATTTTGGAAACAGCATATGTAATGTTTCCAAATATCCAGTTTATATCTCAGTGTCATAATCTCTTTTTGGGGGTGAGAGGTGTCATACTTACTGTTAGTAAATTTTTACTGATAAGCCTGAAATTTCAAAATAGTGACTATTAGGCTTTATTACTAAAATTAAAGGTATTTGAACCCTTACCGAACACTTCATAAGGTAATGGAGTAGTATTTCTAAGTGGGTTATCAGTCTCTGGGGGAGGCCATTTCTTCATCTCTAATTTTGAGAAATCACTGGGCAAGTGACCCCGATGATCTGATTTACTCATAAGAATGAGGTCCATTAGCTCTTTGTATCTGGGAGATCTGTACACTTAATGTATTTACTAATTTTGAGGCCTTGAACAGGTTACTTAACCGATCTCATTTCTAAGTCGGAATAATAATAGTACTAATTATAGGATTGTGAAGCTCTTGACTTAGTGCTTGCTGCTTATAAAATGTTCTGCAGATACCATTTTCATTATTAATCTAATGTTTTCATTTTATTTGAGACAAGTTCTACCCTTTGCTTTTTAAATACTTAGAACTTCATGTTCTGTTAAAGTATTCTTGTTAAAAATTTTTTGCATCCTTATTGGATAAGAAATATATACAGAGAAGCATCCCTCTCGCTCCTGTTTCTTCCCCAAATTAAAATGTGACAATTTAATTTTTTACGACTGGTTTAATTAGCTTTGAGCCCACACAAGATTTTATATTTAGTGTGGAAATAAAATTTGATACTGTTATAAACACGTTGATTTTGAAAATTAAAATGAATATTTCTTTACTTAAATGATGACCATGGTGTTTATCTTGGTACTTTTTGTTATAGGTGAAAAACTGCAGTGGTTTCAAAATCATCTGGATCCCAAAAAAGGAGGGTATTCAAAGAAAGATGCTTGTGAATTAATTGAAAGGTAAACACTGGGCATGTTATGAGAAAAGGGTCAGAAAAAGGAATTTTTCACTCTGGTTCTTCAAGAGACAGTTGTGTTCTGGATTTATAGAAGAGCAAATGGGCTTTATAATCAAAGAGACTTTGGATTTATATCCTAGCCTCTTCACTTTAGCAGGCTGTAACTGTTCTGTACCTCACAGTGGTAGTTAATCCAATTTCTTGGGGTCAGTAAAGGCTTCTTGGAGATATATCATCTGAAGCAATAGCTGAAGGGCAGGAGTCAGAGGCTCTTCAATCTGAGGGCAGATTGAAGAGCCTCTAGCAGAGACGAATATCTGAAAGGCCTACAGGTGAGAGTGCCATATATAGAGATCTGGCAGACATCTGATATGACTGAAATAACAGGTTCAAGGAGGTAATTGTGACAGGTATGATAAGTGACAACCAACTCGTGAAAGACCTCAGATATCATTATAAGAGTTTGGACTTTATCAAAGGACATTCAGAACCATGGGAGGCTTTTACAGCAAGCTCTGGTGATGATCGATCATGTTTAAACTTTAGAAAGGTCACAGTAGTGAGAATGAGGACAATGGCCTGAGAGACCTGGCATTAGCCAGGAAACCGTTGAGAGGCTGATGAAAGAAATTCTCCAGGCAAGAGATGGTGGTAGTTTCTGCTTGCTTGGTAGCAGTGTGGTGAAGAGAAGGTTTCCAGAGTTATAAAAAAGGGAGAAGTCTCAATCTTTAGTGAAAACAGATGTGGCATAAAAGGGGGAAAGGAATGAAGGAGGACACTTTTATTCCTTATTTGGGCAGTCAGATGAATGGTCGTACTGTTTCTTGAGATAGGGAGCCAAAGAGATGGAGTAGGCTTGGTGGGGATGGGTGGGGTCAGGGAGGAGGACAAGTTCAGTTTGGATGTGTTAAGCCTCTACAGGACTTTCAAATAAAGATGTTCAGGACGTGGTTGAAAATGAGCATCTGAAGTTTAATAGATACTTTAATAGCAGGCGGTGATTTGGTTGCAAAAATATTGAGAATGGTTGAGTTATCCAGGGAAGGTCTGAGGTCTAAGGACTTGAACTCAGAGGAATATAAAGATTTAGACAGGCAAAGGCTGGGAATTATGTTTTCAATGAAATAGCATAAGCCAAAATACAGACTTTGTAACTCGGATCATTTTCTTATTTTTCAGGTATTTAAATCGATTCAGCAGTGAGCTGGAGCAGATTGAATTACATAACAGCATCAAAGACAGGCAGGGAAGGCGGCACTGTTCCCGGGAGACAGTCATCAAACAGACAATGGAGCGGGAGCGACAGCAGTATGAAGGCTATGGCCTCGGTGTGTTCACTGCCATGCTCCTTTTTCTTTCTAACATACATAGCAATATCAGATTTGTAGTGCACTTCAAAGGTCTATTATTGTATTTAGTTTGATTTTCTTCCTTTGATTTCCTTTCTTTTGTGAGTATATGGAATCATTTTTAATTCATTCTTTTTTTTTTCTGCACTCCCCAAAACTGTCCATTGTGACAGTGACATCATTTCTTTCTACTGTGAAAGTAGTTTTTCCTTGCCTCTGGCACATATCTGTTTGCTTTGTTATAGAGTTACTACCTGCCCATCTCCAACTACATCTAAGTTTCTTTAGAAGGTGGTACTGTGTCCTTGTCGTCTTTGTAATTCTTGTAGAACCAAGCAGTGGTTGTTGCAGTCATTCTTGAGAAATATAGAAATCCAGTATTCATTCTGGGCATGATAGCACTTCTTACCATTCCTAAGGACAAGTATGTCATTAGTTTACCAACACTGTCTGAAGAAAAGCACTTAAAAGGAGAAGGTACTTAAGGCTTACAGAGCCCACAGACCCATGGTCAGCAAACTGCTGCTCGCAAGCCACATGCGGCTCTTTGGCCCCTTGAGTGTGGCTCTTCCTAAGCCTTTGGAGTACCCTAATTAAGTTAATAACAATGTACCTACCTATATAGTTTAAGTTTAAAAAATTTGGCTCTCAAAAGAAATTTCAATCGTTGTACTGTTGATATTTGGCTCTGTTGACTAATGAGTTTGCCGACCACTGCCACAGACAGATTACAACCGAAAGCCTGCATATAGCCTGCAAATGGTATTGATTGGCTTATTAATTCTTAGTATAAAAAAAAACACCTGGTGATTTCTCATGAAAAATATAGATTTCTGACTTGCCTTAAAAAATCAGATGGTTTGGCAGCATAATCTGCTAGACGTACAGGACTCACCTTTTCATCTAAAGGAAGCCCTTGTGGCTTCTCTCTGGCATTTCTGAATTTCCAGCATCACTACTTGCTCTTTGAGGCCATTATTGAGTAAAATAAGGGAACACAAGCACTGGGATACCACAACAGTAGATCTGCTAACCAAGACGACTACTAAGTGGCTGACAGCAGGTTGGTTGAGACATTGAACAAAGGGATGGTTCACGTCCCATTTGGCACAGAGGGGGGCATTGTGAGGTGATTTCATCAAGCTGCTCAGAATGGCTGGCAATTAAAAACTTAGGAATTGTTTTATTTCTGGAATTTTCTATTTCATAACTTTAAATTGCAGTTAACCTCAGGTGACTGAAACTTTGGAAAGTGAAATTGCAGATAAGGGAGGATTACTGTAGATTTGTTTTCTTTTACAGATTCTATGCTAGAATTTTATTTAATAGCATTCTTAAATCATCTTAAGCTAAGCCTTTTATTTTTGTAAAACTTACTTTCATGTAGCATTATAACAGTGTTTTGGAGTTTTGTTTTGCTTTAGATGATCTTGTTGTCTGTCAATTATTATTTGTTGCATCTGTTATAATAAATGAGGAAACTATAAGATGTTGTAATTTAGAAAACATTACCTAATGGATATGAATTATGTTCTTTCCCAGAGATACCAGATATTCTAAATGCAGGTAATCTGAAAACTTTTAGGTGAGTTTGTGTCACTTTTATTGTTCCCCGAACAGCATGTCACATACATGAGACATAAAATTTCTTTTCAGTGTAGACATCAGAGCTGACAGAAAGTCAGGTTTTTTTTTTTAACCTTTTCTCTTTTATCAGACAAAGTAGAATTTTCCAAGTTGTGTTTATTTGAAACACCAGATATACACTGAAATGCTAATGACATGAGACTTTTATTTCCTTTTCAAAACATTTTAAAATGCTTTACTGTAGTACTTAAAAGAATCTTGCTATTCCTCACCAATTCTTATTTTTTTTAAAAAAAAAAAGAAATAAAAGCAACTGATTTAATGGCTCAGAGTCACATCCCAGACTGTTTGCAGGATCCTCTGTTGGAGAAGTTGGTTAATGGAAAGTGCTAACAGGGGAAGGCTGAGTCTCCTGAACCAGGTGGTCTGTGGTCTCTAACAGCACTCTGACCAGCCAGACCCCTGAGTAGGATTTCAGTTTTTTCCAACTTGGCTACTTTGTCTTGAAAAAATGATTCCTATTAACCTTTTTGATATTAGATCATGTTGATGGGTCTAAAATTTTATGTTAATTGAAATTAGATAAATTAAGCCCAGTCATATTCTTTGATACCTTTAAGCTCATTTTATAGTTTTATGCTTCTGAATTCATAGAAAAATACTTGGTATTTAGTACTTACAAAATATTGTCTCTAATAAAGTTCACCGATCATATTTAAGAAGTACTTTACTTTTTAGCTCATGTATATGTATTTATAATTTAGATACATAGAGTTTAAGATTCTTTTTATACCTTCATTACTATATTTGCCTGTAATATTAATTAATTAGATATATAAATGTGCTCTTTATTTCTAAAACAAGTATGTTCTGCCTCTCTGAAAGCCAGAAAAGAGAAGAATTTAGCATAGACTATTTTTAGTATTGCTGGAGTTCAGTTCTCAAAACAATCTTAACATTGCCCCTCAAGTAAATAAAATGTAGGATTGTCACAGTAAATGCTGAAATTAAAAAACTCAGTTTTCTATTATAACCATAAAAGTTGTTTGATGACTGAAACTTGTGACTTACCACTGTGTGTGAAAAAAACTTTTCTGACTATGTATTTTGGAGAGTTGCCAGGTATGTTACAGTTCCTACTTGTGAGATTCTTGATACCATAGAGCCCTATTGACCTAAGTGTTCTGGTTAGGGAGAGTAAAAGAAGGGAACAGAGCCTCCTTGTAATTTTTATGTAACATTTTCCTGTATTGCTTTGGGAGTTTTGAATATATGGGATTCTCTCTAATGCATTTATATTGTTTCTCTCTAGTGCATTTGAATCTGCTGTAAATTTACAAATTTTGTTCTGCTCCTTTCAGAGTTTTGAATATTGACTTTTTCTTGCTTCCCACCTCACAGCCTGCCAACCATCTATACTCTTTCTTTTGCGTAGGGAATGGGATTTTGATCTGAAGAAATTGCCAAACATTAAAATGAGAAAAATGTGCGCTAACGATGCAGTTCCCAAGAAGCACAAGAAGAAAACTACTACACCTGTGGACAAAGATTTAGGGGAGCTACAGCTACATGAGGAATCAAGTGACTCAGATGAGGAAATGACTGCAGTGGCCTAATTGTTCTTTACTGGAGTTGAAAATAGGTAATTTGAGAACCTCAAGTTACATTTGAATTGATTATGTTAAAGAATTGTCTAGATACAAGAATTTGCTATTTAGCTCATTCTCATTCTCATCAAATGAGAATACCATTTGCAGCTTAAAAAAGTTTTGATTTTTATTTAAAAATGAATGTTGCTTTTTATTTACATTAAATTGCTAAAATAGTGACATAAAATAAAATAGTGACCTTTAAGATCGATTTTATCTTATTATCTGGGGCAGGAAGGAGCATTATGAATAAGGACAAAAAATGTTTTAATTCTTTTCCTCATGTTTACTTAGGGTCACCTAATCTCACATTTGGGGGCAATGACAGCAACCTGTTTTCTAAAAGGGTCCTGTGGGTACTTCTTCAGCAGTGATGATAACAAAATTACCTTTCACTAATGTTCCTCTTAAACATTAAATCTAAATATAATATGGAATGCCTATACACTGATGGATTATACATTATTTTTATTTATTATCTTTGAGCCAGAGCTAAATGTTAAGAAAAAAAATGCAGTGACTATTCTTAGGTTGATCTCTCTTGCATAATCTGCTATCTTTTGATAAAGGGAATGGATGATTTCAGGTTATCTCTTTTTGTTTGTATATTTTCTACTTTCTCATTGTGAAAAGTGATAAGTTTTATTTGTGGAAACAGACCTAAAGATTAGAGAACCAATTTTTTCAATTGTGTTATTTTTTTCTTCTAAGAGGTAGGTTAAATGACAACTAGTATAACTCAGTATTTCAAATGTCATGAATGTTATGGAGGTAGTAGAAGGTTGTTCTTTGCAGAACTTGCATGCAAGTATCTTTTAGTCTATTTCTGAAGGATGAAATGCAAGTATATTGGAGTCTTTTCAAGAAAAAGGAATAAAACATTAATGCCATATGAGGTTAACTAGGTATGAACTAAATTATATTAACAGTTTATTAAAAATGTTATGGATTTTTTACTGTTGAAAATTAAAAATAAAATTTATTTTCATAATTTCACTTCTAATTATTTCATTTGCAGTGATGTAACTGCTGCTGACTTGCCTTTGCTTTAGTGATATGTGTGAAAGTATGGGTTATGGTTACATAAGAAGGTCTCTATCTCTTTAATAATTAGAAAATTTCCTTGTTTGGAGGATTTATATTTAGTCTCAAACAGCTATGAAAACTGAGTCATAAATTATAGTAAAGAGAATAGTAAGTGTGCTATGTGGTCTGATGTTTAAAAAGCCATGCTGTCAGGTGAGTAACTTGTGAAAGTGACATATTATTCTTCCCCTCAAGCATTTGTTCCTAGTTTTCCCTATGATATCAAAGCAAAAAAAAAAAATGTAACAAGACACAGTGCTTGGAACTAGAACATATAAATGTTGAATGATTGACTTTATCATCTAGAACCACACTTGCCATGTCACTTCTTGCTGGACCAAAGTAGCCTAAGACATACTTTGTCTTTGGAGTAATGCTTTTAAGTGATATACTTAATCTTTATCTATGGAACATATTCTTTCTGCAGTAATAACTTGTGCTCCCTTATCTAGACTCCTTTTAGATCAGTAGTCTGTCTTTGTATGATGGCTTCTGTAGTCCATGGCCATGGAACAGAGACAGAGTAACTCACTTTGTTAGCATTTCTGTATAAACTAGGGCCTATCAAAGTGTTTTTTTTTTTTGTTTGTTTGTTTTTGTAAGAGCCAGATAGTAAATATTATAGGTGTTACAGGCCAGGTGTGCTTTCTGTTGTATAATTGTGTGTGTGTGTGTGTGTGTGTGTGTGTGTGTGTGTGTGTGTGTGTGTTTTGCCACCCTTTAAAAATGTAAAAACCATTCTTAGTTCAATGCCATTCACAAACAGGCTGCAGGGTGGATTTGGCCTGCTTGCCATAGTTTGCCAACTGCTGCTCTAAATCAGTGAGCTGAACTTTCATGGACATAGGCCAGTGATACACTTCTAAGCTCAGAGCAACTAACTCTGACATCCGTGGTCTCTTTTCCTAATATCCTAGTCACTTCCTTGCCTTACCAATTTAAGTGTTTTTCTAGTTTTCTAGCCTCAAATACAAGGTTTTTCTACTCATATCCCTTGTACTTCAGGGGCAGAGGTTGGATAGGTGTCCTCTTTGCTCTACTGCCACGTTCAGGTAATTTCTCCCTTAGTTCCTTGCAGTTCTGTTATTCCCCTCCCTCCCCCCCTTTCCTTATTGTCTTACCTCCCAGAAGGACCTTCTGTTCATTCCTTGAAGATTTTAGCTCTTGGCTCAGTTTTCTTCTCTATTTCAATAATTTTAGTGATCCCAGTAGCCTTGTGAATAAACAGATCTCACACTGTGTTCTTAAAGTTTCTCAGTCTTTTTCTCTCTCCCATCAGAAGGCTTTAGGTGGTCACACCCACCCAGATCCTTAGCACCTGAAGTTTCTATAAACTTGACTTTGAGCATTTCATTCTCCATTCTCTGTCTCCCATCCCTCTCCATTGCTGAAGTTCCTAGTGGCTTCCTTGCGTGTGCTCTCAATTCCTGCCTGACTGCACAGTGTTCCTCTTTCAACACCCAAACCAAGTAAGGCTCACTTAACTGTCCCCTTCTACCTGCTCCCAAGCAGCTCAGCCTTGCTGGAGACTATCAGACAGACCATTTTCCCATTTTTGTTTCCAAATCTCAAGTGGATTCTCAACACAGTTTAGCAATTCTACTGGGTTTCCCGTAAGAAGCTCATTTTTCAACTCTGAGATAATTTCTTTGTACTGCTCTTTCATGCTTCCTAGTTTGACTTTAATACTACCTTCCCCAGTGTTCAGCTGTTAACTTTTTATACATAATTGAGAAAACAGAAACTTATTTTCTTTCGGTTTAATGGGTGTAGTGGTTTTTCTCCTTTCAAAGCCAGTCCTCCCACTTCTGTTCTGGATCCCCACGCCCTATTGCCTTCTCAGGAACCTTGATTCTCCCCAAGTTTTTCACCTCATTTCTCAAGCAGGAAAAAAAAAAAGGATATAAATCATCATTGATTCTTCTCTTCCTTCCCTGCCCTCCCCAGTCTAATGTAATTATTGGGTATTTCTGGTTTATTTCCAAAAAGAATGTTAAATCAGCCCATGTCAGGCGATCTCCACTGGTCACCCTCCCCTGAGCCACCATGCCTTTGGCTGTACTGTGTGCAGTGGCTACCTGGCGCTTTCATGTCACCATTCTTGCTCCACTTAACCCATTCTCCAGAGCTGTGCATTTTAAGAATGTACACTAAGATATGCTGCTCATTTGTTCAATGTTGTCGCAGTTTCATTCCATCACATTTTTAATGGTGTGTTTGTTTCTTTGATGTATGATTTTGTTTCTAACCACTTTTTAAAAAGACTTTACTTTTATAGAGCAGTTTCAGGTTTACATCAAAATGGAGAGAAAGGTAAAAGAGATCTTCCGTATAGCTCCTGCCCTCACACACGTGTAGCCTCCCCCATTATCGACATCCCCCACCAGAATGGTACACCTGTAATAATTGACAAGCCTACAGTGACATTCATCACATTTTGAATGAAATTCAGGTTCGGAGCGCAGCCAAAGAGGCCTGTAATGATTCCTGACTGCCTCTCCCACCTCAGCTTGTTTCCACTAGCCCTTCAGACACACTGGCCTTCTGTCCATTCCTAAAATACCCAAGCTGTTTCCTACAGTGGGACAGCTCTGTGCTGGCATCCTGATGACCATGAGTGTGGCCACTTAGGCCAGGTTTGATCACAGCCAACCTGAGCTTTAGAAGAATGCCCTGTGATCTTCCTGGAACACGATATGAGATGCTTGTGAGAAACTGTCATTGGCCACTTCACCTTTGCCTCCCTATCTTACAGGGATGATCTGTGCCCAGTTTGTCATTGCCCCCTGGGTTGTGATGAAGTAGCAGTGTTTCAACCTGTCATCTCTTCAGGGTGTAGCTGCAGGCCATAGAAGTGAATCAGCATCTCAGTAACAATGGGCCCCAGCCCATACATTCCATCATCCTGTCATCTGGCCCTTTTCTTTTTGTGCCTTTCCTTGGGGCAAGACTCAGACAGCTGACTCCATAGCTCGGGTTTCTTTTGCTATCTAAGTAATGAACTGTCTGACACTAACAAGGGCTTGTGGTTTCTTTACTGGCTGAACCTTGCTTGACATTTCCTAGTCAGGACTGGGGCACTTGCTGTTTTCTCTGCCTGTATTGTCAGCTTTAAAGCAGGGTTTGAAAGTCTGTATAATTATTTCTGTTGTTTTCCCCCGTTAGTGCATGTTTATCGGACTCTACAATGTCATGGGTTAGTCAGTCTATGTTGGCCTTAAAATAATTTTAAATATGTTCACACTCAGATTAAAAACCCAGACCATTGAAAAATCTGAATAACTCCCTCATTTGAATGTTGCAGATACAAATCAGCAGAAATTCTGGTAAGTTAAAAAAAAAAACTATGGAAACCACAAAAAAGGTACGAGTCACTTGTTTAATATACAAAGTCTTTCACAGATAATTATATTCTTTTCCTTAATTTGTCTTAATACACATTATTCACAAAACAGTAAAGTGTTAATGCAAGAGAATTAGGTAAAACCAAAAAAGTACAAATGCTCAACCTCAAAAATTGCACACAGTCAAAATAATTGTTTCTTGTTTGTTTTAATGCAAAATCCAATCTCAAAGTGGGCTTTCATCAGATATGAGGAAACAGCCCAAAATAACAGGATGTCCTTTCAACTGTATTGATATGTAAAATAGCACCTTTGGGCTGATTTAAGGAAAGAAAAAAGGTTTTCATCTTAAAGTGTGAGTCCTACACCATTATTACATAACAACTACAATAATGATGATAATGAGTTTTAATAGCTCCACTTTGTTCCAAAATGTTCATTGGCAAGGCAAGGCTAGGTAAACTGTATCAGGCAGATGGGACAGTCTTCCCCATCTCACCCTAGTGACAATGATGATAATGTCACTGCACTGATGAGCTAATTTCCCAACCAAAGACTCCCTGTTTGAGGAGGACCCAAAGACCTTTTGCACAAGATAAATGTAACTATGGGGCCATCTCTCTGGGACTAGAATCACAAGTACCAGCAGCTCAGAGTGAAGATTTAATCCTGGGGCATTCAGTATGTATATACCTGTCTTCTTTCAATTCTCCATTGCCCACTCAGGTTGATGGGATCGTTTCTGTTTCTGTTTTTCTTTTCTATTTTGGTTTGTGTTTGTACTTAAGCTTCATGGCCCTTTGCAGTTCACTTTTAAAAAGATACTTGAATCTTAATTCTTTATAATTTAATCTTTGGTCCTATATAATAAAAGTGGCAGTTCTTTAAAAAAAATTAACAGCATAAAGCTATGTGATTTGATGTATGGGATGGATAATACCACAGATTCATGACTATAAGAATCCAAAGTTCTGAACAGAACTGTCAGCTCATTCTTCAGTGTCAGTCCGTTGTTTCGATTCCATTTTATTTCTTCCATGAACGGGGAAACGTGCTTTGGAAAAATCGTCATTTTGGAGAGCAGCGCTTCTCTTTGAAAGGTACGTCCAGTCCACATAGGCCCTGTTACAAAGCCAAATCCTTCGAAAGGGCAAAGGCACCATTGCCACACAGAACATAAGAAAATAATCCACATTAGGTTTCAAGTGCACATAGTTATTTAGACTGAACCATAAACAGCCATTGCAGAAAAAGTTTTAAAAAGATTTAAATTCAGGAGTTCAGGGTTCAAAACGGTCAGAAGAATAGCAGAATAAAATACTGACTTTTAACCTGCTAGGGAGCTCTATTATTTTCTCATTTCAAAAAAAGTCAAAGCCTGTACAAGTTCATGTTGAGAATTTAGGTATGGTTTTAAGATAATACCTTATCATCTTTTGTCATTCATACAGTAATGCTCACCTTTACTTTTCATCCCAGAAATGTGTTCTTAGTGTTGAGGGAAGCCCTTAATACACGAGGCCTTATTTTAGCCAGTCACCTGCCACTGTGAAATGAGCTATGCACTGATCTATTTTGCCTAGGTCTGCACAGTATATAAACAGTATTTGTGGTGCTAACAATCCTTTTCTTTCCAGAGCAAACAAAAGAGAAATCATTTCTTTGTTTGCTGGTGGCTAGATTTTTCCACCCAGGAATATTTGTAAACAGCATGTTGCCATCTCTAAACCATAGGAAACATGGATTAGTAAAAAGCTTAGGAAAATTAACAGTTCATTTGAATCAAGGTTAATCCCTTGGGTGGAGGGGGGGCATGGAGTTTAGTTTGTTTAGGTCCTTATTTTTTATTACTAGTACACCGTTTATGTCCTTATTTGTACAGAAATTTTGGTTCAGGTTAATTACCTCAACTTTGTTTTCTCATTGCCTTTATTCCACATCCCTGTAATACGTTTTAAGAAAGATGGGTTTCAAACCTTTTGTTTCCTGCCTGAACGAGAATATTTTTCTCATGTATGTACATGAGTACACACACACAGGGTAGACATTGTTTCCCTTTATTTCTAGGAATCGGGACTGTTGGACTCAGTGTCAGCCACTACTAATAGTCATCTTTCTCATTAAAAGGTTATTTCTTTCCGCTTTTTCCTATGATAATCAGTGAAGAACAAGCACACGGATAATTACAAAGTGCGTCAATGTGATACCCGGATTTGTGCAATGCGATACCCATGCTTTGGTTCTTATGGCCATCACGGTTGCCTTTTCACAATAATAAATATGACACCTAACAAAAATAAATCACCTCTTTAAAATCTAAGACATCTTTTTTGACAGGCCACTATATCTATAATCATTAGTCTAGCTCACTGCAACATCATTCACACCAGTTTTACATGAATATGCAAAGAACACAATAATCAACTGAACTGTCAAACCTAAACAACTCAATTTATTACTTATCACAGAATCTGTTGAATGTTTTTGCTTCCCAGCTGAGCAAGGGAAATACTGTCAGCTTTTAAAAATAGAGTTGAAATGCTTAACTATTCATCTGTCAAGTTGACACATTGTATGGATTTTTTTTTTTTTTAAAAAAAGCCTTACACATTTGACTTAATAACAAAATATTTAATTGTTATTTTCCCCTTCAGAAGTGCTTCATCATAGCAAACAAGTTCCTTTCAGAACCTTGCCCCAGGCAAATGGCTGTATCTTTCTATACTTTCGTTTTTTTCATCCTTTAGTGACTTTGTCTAACTTTTCAACCAGCCTATTTAATTTGATTAATTTAGTGCTTTGTAAAATTATAACATTTGTGAGACTTTGAGTGAAAGAGTGAATTAAGCTGCTGTTTTGAAGTATTCAACTGTTGAATGAATCAGAGGCTCTGTCTCCAAGTTTAGGGCTGTGCTAAGCCAATATAGTTAATTCAAATTGAGATATGCTGTAAGGATAAAGTACAAACTGAATTTCAAAGACTTGGTTCATAAAAAGAGATGTAAACTACCTCAATAATTTTTTATTGAGATTAGGGAGAGAAACATTGATTTGTTGTTCAATTATTTATGCATTCATTGGTTGATTCTTGTATGTGCCCTGACCAGGGATCAAACTTGTGGGACCATGCTCTAACCAGCTGAACTACCCAGCCAGAGTCAATAATTTTTAATATTGATAATATGTTGAAATAACTTGAATACATAGGGTCAAATAAAAGACATTCTCAAAAATTAATTCCACTTATTTTCTTTTAAAAGCTTCTAATGAGACTGCTAGAAAAATTTAAATTTACATAGGTAGCCTGCACTTGTAGCTCACATTACACTTCTGCTACACTACACTGTTTTAGAGGGTCCAGATAAAATATGGAACCTGAGACTTGATTTCAACTTATGTGGATATTTAACAGCCAAAAAATCCCCCCCCCCCAATCTTTGAAAATCTTTTGTTCACCATTTAAATAGAATTCCAAGTTAATATCTTCAAATACATACTGTGTCTTTTAAAATCATGCATCTGTCAAAACAACTGGACTGCACTAACCATCAAATTCTGTTCTCCGTCAAAGTGTGAATATCAAAGATGCATCCTCCCAGTGTGCTTCTGATGTGCGTGAGGGGCAATGCGGACAATTCAAGCTTAAAACCAACTAGGCTTGCTATTTCCAGACGAGATAGTTAACATCACGAGGCCTTAGAAGAAATACACATTGCAATTCAAGTCTGTGTTCTTAAACTCTCCCCTGCTACTGTGAAGACTCGTGTGCCCATTTGGTCTGATGATGAACATTGCCTGAAAGTATTCCTTGCTCCGGCGACTTTTAATCCTTTCAGAGACGACTCTTCAGCAAACTTGTCACGTTTCCATATCACTTCAGACTCTGTTTTATGGGGTCTTACCATTTGGTGTCTTCTCCTCCTTTCCTTTCTAAGCCAAATAAGGGAAACGAGTCAGTGAGAGAAAGGGGAGAAGATACAGAAAGTGAGTAATTCAGGATCATCTCTGTCATTTGTTGTGGCCGAGGGTTAGAAAGATCTTCTTTGAAGGAACTCCCACCTGTTGTATCAGTCACACTGGCATCACTTCCGGAGGGCTGTCTTCTGCGGGGGGCAGGGAGGGCAGGGAATTTGGACCCGTTTGTGACACAGGCACCACGACCGCATCCTTGGTGTCCATGTTGACGTTACACGAGAAGCTCTTCTCCTGCTTTTTGGCAGTGTCCGGGCAGTTCTGCACAAAGATTACACGGTTGTAGGCCTTCAACCTGCGCCACAACTGGACGTAGGCTTTACACTGTACATACATGAAGACGAGACCTCCTGTGAAGCCGATGGCCACCACAACCAGTTTTGTCCAGAATGGCCATTCTAGAACACCTTGAAGCAAAAAGAGAGAGAATGTTACCAATGTACTTGGTAATCTTTCTCCATGACCCCTTCAAAAGACCATGCCTGCCTGCTGTGGCTCAGTGGTTGTGCGTGGACCCATAAACTAGGAGGTCGTGGTTGGATTCCCCATCTGGGTACGTGCCCAGGTTGCTGGCTCCATCCCCAGTAAGGGGCATGCAGGAGGCAGCTGATCAATGATTCTCTCATCATTGATGTTTCCACCTCTCCCTCTCCCTTCCTCTCTCGGAAATCAATAAAAACATTTTAAAATAATTGTGGGTAAAGAATTGATTGCTATATAAATGTTAAATTTTGTGGATAAGAATTATAACCTGAATTGCTTAATTGCTTCCAAATATTCTAAAGATGTTAAAATTGTATGTGAAGAAATTCTCTTTCCTACCTCCGTAATGATCTCATTTTTCCACCTATTATCAAGTGATCAGATACTACATTAGACTTTTGATATGTACTTTGACATTTATTCCTTATAGCGAAATCTTTAAGGAGGACAGTGAACATAGTGAAAGAATCAGAATTTAAAATCCTTTTTAACAAGGTAAAGTAATAGATGTATGAGATTGTACCTACAAGTCTGCCTCCCCACCTTTATTCCCTTAAAAGAGAGAGGGGAGGGGTGGGGGAGGAGAAAGAAGATACCACATCTCACCAGAGAAGGAGAATTCCTAAGTGCAGACATACATAAAATTTAGGATTGTAGTCACTTTAGTCAAAATTCAATAAAATTTTTATTTTGTTACTGAGAACCATCACTTTCCTCTCCCCCAACCCCAATATAGCCAAAATAGTGTCATCTAAACATGTTTTCAATGTAAAAATCATTAATATGTTTATTATACAGCAAAAGATAAAGGCTGCATCCCTTAAAAATGGAGATAATACTAGTCTTTACCTCATGGGGTTTTAGTGTGGATTAAATGAATTAATAGTTCTTGACACATAGAAACTGCTATAAGAATGTAAATTCGTTTTTGTTGCTGAGTGATTTAAATGCTACCCTTCTTTGGCTGGCTTAATGGGTTGTAGATAAAGAGCAAAACTTTCACTGTGCCTATAATAACACATTTTTACTGCATTGAGCGTCACTCTTGCATTGAGCGTCACTCTTTGGATGTCCCACCTGGACTCCAGGCAATGAAAACCAGGAATCCTGGGAAGGAGGAAGTCCTGCTGGCTGCCAGCCAAGCCCCTAGCATTTGTCAGCACTACACCTCCTCACCTGTGCCCCTGGGCATGCCTTGTAATTCTAATTCCCTTCACGGAAAACAGCTCAGAAATCTCACTAAAGGTTAGCTGAAGGTCCTGAAATACTTAAGTGGCAACTCTGTGTATTGTGTTTGATAGGAAACACGCTAAAGCTAAACCTTCAGGCCACAATGATAATGGCTTGAAAAGTGGGATGTACCCACTGGCCCCTCTCAGACTCATATCTTTATAAGTCCCATTGGGTAAACCACAAGATCCCAGGTTGGTGTTTATGATATAGCTGCAGATGAGGCAAATTACTGATTTCCTCATCTTTAAAACTGACCTCTAAGGTCTCTTCAACTTTTAAGTTCCAATTCTCCTATCTTACGTAGCAGGTCACGTGACTGGAGGCACATGGGGTGTGTTGGAAAAGCCTTCCTGAGTCCCCAACAGCAGAAGAGAACCTGTCTCACTGCACAGCCGCAGAACCAATGCAATAGTTATAAAAAGCACCCCATTGTTAAGTTGGGGTCTTTCAGCTGCGTGCTGAGGTTATATACAGTTACAAAATGTGTTTGTATAATGCTGTGTATGGCTGATAAGACTGGGAGGGGGTTTTCTTCACTTTTATCCTGGTTGCTTCTCTCCAGCTGGTATATTATTTTAAAAAAGAAAGAAGTAAAAAAAAAAGGAAGGAACAAAGGAGAAGTTTTACATATTTATAACCTTTTCCTTGTTTCAAGGGTAATACTCAGAGAGAGTAAACGGGCATGATATATGTGCCTTATTGTATAAACACAAAGTTTCTATCTGAGGCAAGGCCAGGTTCATGGTGTCTTTGAAAAATGAATCATAAAAAGAACCTTTGGAGGTTAGGGTTAGTTTTACAAATGAGGACACTGAGCTTCTGAGTGACTAATGGTTTTGTTCACCATAACTAGCCAGAGACCAAGGTGAAACTAGAACCCTGGCCTCTGACAACCAGCCCAAGTCAGTGCTTATCACATTTAGATTGTTAACAACAGCAGCACATGTAATTAATTTAGAAAGGAATCATTTAAACACAAATGCTGAAAAAATATTTTATGGATTGCAGGGAAGTGATCTTGAACACATACGCTAAACAGATGCTAAGAGCCACAGTTCTTATCTGCTGGACTAGCCGCAGCCAGCAAAGATTTTGGAGCCTCTACTAATACCAAGCGCTCTCTGAATAATGAATCATGGCCCCTGCCCTGGGGATACGTAGAGGCTCACCAGTGAGTTATGCATGGGGAAAAAATCAATTGGTTATGCTCATCTTCTATGGTGCATACATTTAAAAAATTCTGGCAACAATAAAATCTGTACTTCCAGTCTTTTTTTTTTTATATATATTTTATTGATTTTTTTACAGAGAGGAAGGGAGAGAGATAGAGAGTTAGAAACATCGATGAGAGAGAAACATCGATCAGCTGCCTCCTGCACATCTCCCACTGGGGATGTGCCCGCAACCAAGTTACATGCCCTTGACTGGAATCGAACCTGGGACCCTTGAGTCCGCAGGCCGATGCTCTATCCACTGAGCCAAACCGGTTTCGGCGTCTTTTTAAAACTGGTTTGTTTTTTTTGTTTTTTTCCTTGGTGTGTGTTTTGTTTTCAACACATAAGTAGTATACTGGAGGATTCTTCTAGAATATGTGAAGAAAAGGTACAAAGAGCAACTGTTCTCTCAGAGTTGGCAACATGGGTAATTCAGGATATTAAAGTTTCAAGCACCATGTATTTTTATTTTATTTTTTACCCTTCACAGGTGACAGAGAGAAAGAGAGTGAGGTGAGAGAGCTCTCTGGGGCATCATGCATATTTAATCTGAAAGAACAACCAGTTTAGAACAAGAAGGTTTTGCCCAGCTGGTGTGGCTCAGTGGTTGAGTGTTGAGCTATGAGCCAGGAAGTTCATTCCCCGGTTAGGGGGTATGCAAGAGACAGCCGATCAATGATTCTCTCTCATCATTGGTGTTTCTATCTCTCTCTCCCTCCCCCTTCATCTCTCAAATCAATAAAAATATATTGAACAACAACAACAACAAGAACAAGGGTTTCCCCCCCCCCTTCAGGATTGTTATTACAGTTCAAAAGATTTTGCTGATTTATAACCTCAATTCTGGGCAATTTATCCCTCTTCAAATATTTTTGAAGGTTTCTAAGATGGATGGAAAACATGTTGACTTTGAAATGATGCAGTTTTTTCCTTTTTTAAAAAAGGAGGTGTCCTTAATTTCCCCCTCACATGTGGCTGAAAGAGGACAGAAAGAGCCCTGTAGGCTCGTGTACCTGGACCAAATCGGGGTGACCCCTGGTAGAGGGCAAGGCCACAATGGGCAAGTTCATGACTCCCAAACACCAAACTCCAAGTTAGACATCTACAGATATGAAGTCTCTGGCTATCCTGTCTGCCCTAGATTGCTAGGAAAACCCTGGAGTCTCGAGGTCGTATGTTGGGTATAGGAAGGTGGGGATGGTGGTGGAATGCCTCTGTTTTCCCATACTATGCAAGGCAATGTTTCTGGAGCATTTTCTGTGACTTGGCTTAGGCCAGTACCTGTACATATAGGGAACATGGACTTTTTTTTTTTTTTAAAGGCCCTACCTTCTAGGAAATTATTTAATAAGGACCTAATAGACATGCTTAAATCCAGCACCTCAGGAACAATGCATAATGTAGTTTTAAACAATGTAGTTTGACATGAATTGTATAGACATGAGTTAAGATTGAGCCAAAAAACAAACAAAACCTCGCCCTACCTGTGTTTCTAACCACAGCACTTTCTCTTTCAGAAGAGAGCAGCGGGATCTGTCACTCCGTCACCACCCCTCCTCGGCCCCTCACCCACTTAAACTACATAAACCACATCCCAGGGCATCTGGCAAGGCCTCACAGTCCCTTTTACTGGCCCAGGTCCCCTTCTGCTTCTAGGCCGCCAGGAGAGCACATGTTGGTGCGCACTGCTGCCACCATGAGGGCAAGTGTGAGAATGCAACATCTTTCCTTTCTGCTTTTATGAAACCGAAGAGATATAGAAGTAACAAAGCTTTCCCTCTTAAAACTATTTTCCTCACTTCCTCTCATCTTTTTCTTTCTTTCATGTTCCTTCTTTTTTGACTGAGATGAATAAACATTTCATAACCGTGCAAAGATACAGTTACCATCTGAACAATTTCTCCTTTCAAATTCACCAGGGGTTTAATTTTGTGTTTCTCCTTTTCCCGTGAGGAAGAGGGGGTTAGGGGACTATTCCTCACTATTTTACCGGCTATGATTGAGGCTATATGGTAACACTTAGAGCCCGGTGAGAAACAGGTGGTACCTTCAGAAGTGAAGACAATCAATTTTAAACCACCGATGCACATTAAATGACTTTTAAACACTCTTCTTTGCAGACTTGACAGTCAAACCTAGTATGTTTAAAATTTCAAACCACAATGCTAATCCTATCACATTACACAGTATTAAGTAACAAGCTACAACATTCTCTACCAGAGTATCATCTTATTCATGTTCTAAAAGGCCTTCCTTTTTTACTACTATCTGCCTTTGCAAAGAAGGAAGAACCTGATGCTTATTCAGCTCCTGTGAAGTCTGGAGTGGTGGATGGCATACAAGTACTTCTCCCCACCAAGGTCTACATGGACTTCATTATCTTGCCTCTCCGCTTAGGACCCCATACGTCTAATGCTTTAGAGCCAGAGCACAATTGGAGAAGACTCAGTTTCCAGTACTGGTTTTTGCTAGTGCATCATACATGAAGATCTAAACCGGGGAAATGGCTTTCCTACCCAGCTCTGGGTATTGTCATAGAATCCAAGAGAGAGAGAAGAAAAGGCAGGTGCTCTTACCATTGTCATTGCCTTGCCTGATCTCCTCTGCTGTCCGATCTATTAATACATACAAGGACCACACCACACAGGTGATGGCGATGACGTGGAATGTGACAGAGCAGAATATTTTCCTCCTTTCACTCGTGGTCATCTGTAGTTTCTCCCACTGCAATCAGAAACAAATGCATGAGACTGCGTTTCTAACTAGGACATTTTGGCCCCCATTTACACCCCACACAGAGGTCAGGATTGGAGGGAAAACATGAAATGTTTGCCTTGCCAGAGGACACTCATGTTCACATTAGTCTTCATGTTTAGAAAGATTTGAAATCATAACCTGTGGCATTATAGGTAACTCGGATGAAAATGAAAATGAAAACGATATATTCCTAGTGTCCACATGAACTAAATCAAGTCATTTCTGTTTTGTTAGCCTATAGTTTCCTTGCCCCGTAGCATGAATGGGATACTTGTAATATTTTTAGAAAACATTTCCTCCCAGGGTTCTGCATCTCACTTCTTTGCGGCGCTAGGTTACAAGTACTAGTAGCAATAAATGATTTCTTCTTGGATGAATACGTAACCTGAGACAGTGTTGCATTTTTTAATGTATAAATCCAACAAAATAGTTGAATGGCTGTGAGAGGAAGTCAACATGGGTTCACAAGTCTTCTAGGAAACACTACTTTTGTTATCTGGGCAACGTGAGAAAACCAGTGGAGGCCCCTTTTAGAGCAGTCTTGATTTTTCGCAGTCACTACCAGTACAATGGCTGCCCCCCAGTCACCCCCTGCGCAGGGAGTTGAGGGCTGCTGACTCCGTCAGGGGGTGGTGGTGGGGGGAACTGTTGTTAGAGTCATACATGAAGGGTTATATGAGAGAATGTGACCATTGTTAACTTAAAAAATATTTTTATTTTTTTTGAGAGAGAGGGGGGGAGAGAGAGAGAGAGAGAGAGAGAGAGAGAGAGAGAGAGAGAGAGAAAGGGAGAGAAACATCCATGTGAGAGCCGAACATCAATCTGCTGCCTCCTGCACACCCCCTACCAGGGATTGAGCCCTGACCAGGAATCAAACCAGCAACCTTTAGGTGTACAGGGCCCCGCCCAACCAACCAAGCCACACCAGCCAGAGCAAGTCCATTATTAACTTGGAAGAAATAGAACCTCAAATGAAATGGCGATGCTTTGACAGCTAGGGTACCACTTTGCGTGAGGAACTGTGATTTTCTTTTTCTTTGCATTATTGCTGTGGGAAAATCCAATCACGATTTTACTAGAGGTGACGTCATGGGTTAAGCTTTCAATACTCTGTGATTCTTCGTCTTCTTTATTTACAGTGCTCTTGTTAAAGCAAAATCTTTAGAGCTTCGAAGACCCCCACCCCCACATAAAATTCCAGGCACAACCCAATAGAACACAAGAGGGCATCCATTACGGTCCATGAGCCCTGGCTCTGAGGCGTGGGTGAAGTCCTTTAACCTCGCTAGGCCCACTCGCCTCGTCATAAGATGCGAACTGTGTCCGAGGTTACGACAGAGCACTTTGGGGAGAGGATGTCCTTTTCTTCCTTTGTTAACAGGCCAGTAATTCGACGAGGGTCGGCATTGTGCCCAGAGCAGAGCTGCTTTCCAGCCTTCCCTGGCAGAGGCGGACAGTGGCTGTTTGCCAGCAACGAGAGATGAGCGGCTCTCTACGGGCATATGGAGTTTTTCCATCCGGACCTGGAATTGCCCCTTCCCCCTCTCCTTCCATTCCTCTTCTCTGCTCCCTGGAATTCATCGTTACCAGCGAGAGTCCCGGCAGCCACCTTGCAGCCTGGAGGAACAGCCTTGCGCGTTGGGGAGACCTCGGCCCGATGAGCAACAGCCCCGCCACCGCTGCCACTCACGCGCCAGGAGAACACAGCCCCATGTGATGGAGCCAGATTTCCCAGGACGCTGCTACTTGCTGTCAGAGCCATTGCTGATCAGTGACTGAGGCAGATGCTCCCACTTCTCTGCCAGGATGACGCTTAAGATCCCATCGTTTCTTTTCGAGGAGGGCACAGTACTGCAAGTCTGATCAAGAGGCCCCAGAAAAGCTTCTTAGAGAAAACAGTGCTTTATTTACAAACACCACCCGTTTCCCGCCCCTCACTGGCCAAGCAGCACACAGGTTTCTTTGTAAGGGTTTGTTAGAGCCAATGGATAACTCATACTTCATCTCGTGCTCTCTTTCTCGTCAAACTACATTTTACACAGTCCACGCAAATAACGGAGCGATCTTAGTACTGGGGCGAGGGGAAAACCACATGCTTCAATATCGAATCTATTGTTAATTAACCAATACTGAGTTGAAAAAAAAATCTTAGTATGGGTATCTCGGCTTTCACAGGTAAGCCTGATTTTTAAAAATTCGTTTTGTTATTGATCTATTGCAATATTAATCTGAGTAATCCGTATAAGTATAGAATTGATTATCATTTGGTGATAGCATTTTGTGATTTAGTAACTATTTCTTGCATCACCTCCGTATTCAGTAGGACCAAATACGCAGTGCAGGATGCTGCAGAAAAGCAGCTTTCATTCTAAGTGTTCCAAGTGGATGAGAATACCTTCAGTAACAAAATATGCGTATCAAATCAACCCTCAATCGTAAAACTGGCTGTAGGGAAAAAAAAAATCCATAAAAAGGGGTCTTCTTAAATTTGAGGAGAATTTTGATGCTGCGGCTGAAACACATTCTTCCAAATTAATGAACCTCAAATAGGAAAGTATCAGGGGCTGGCAAGGATGGACCAAGTCAGGTAAAGACTTCTAGTTCCAACAGTAGAAATTCTGAAGTTGTCACTTCCCAATCGCAGGAGTATTTTAAAAAGAGAAGTGCGAAGGGACCGTCTAACTTTCCTACTTTATAAATCCTGCAGGAACTATTCAGGAATTCACTGACAGCACACAGGGAAATGTGGTACCACAGCGCCCTCCTCTGCACGATCCAGTTACTGCATACTATTGTCAGCACAAGGCATCACCAGAAACCAGTGTTTGGTAAAATCTCAGACACATGGGCTAATTCGGGCAAGGGGCTGTCGGTTAAAGCCAAAAGTCCGTTATATCATAAAGTAGGTTTTCCAAATGCAAATGTCAAAAGTGACAAATTAGTTAGTTTTCCTGTTTTTACTTATGTAGACCTTTTTGTGTAATTAAAATGAAGTATATAGGGAAAGTTTAATTTCACAGAAAACTTTTCTATATGTATTACAGCAATTTTAAATTTATACTGAATAGAGCGAGTAAATGTTTGTACCCACCAGTCACTGAGAGTAAACAAATGTACACGGCTGGGGCGTGGCTTAGTGCACGCGGGAACATTGTGGGCACACATTAAAACTGTGGCAGAAAGCCACAACAGGAGACTACAGAGCCAATGATCCCACGTGTGATGCGGTGTCACCACGTGGTAACCATGCAGTCTGATCACAAGCTAATTATCTGGTGTGATTACATGCTAATCATTCAGCTGATCATTCGCCAAACATTGTTTACGACTGGTGACTCTTGGATTTTAACATGTAGACTATAGTTGCAGATATGTAATATTTATTTATGTCGGTGAAATTACTAAAGCATTTTTCCAACATATGGCCTATCCGCTAAAACTTGTTAAAAATAGCAGTGTATTAATAACAAAAAACATATATAACCTGTGAATTTAATTACAAGCAAATCTTCGTTAAAAGCATTTTAAAATTAACAAGGTGTTAATTTTCACATATGGCACATGGGTTGGAAATTTTGTCTGTTAAACCCAAAGTCCGTTAAATTGAGGTCTGCAAAATCGAGGGTTTACTGTATTTTATAAAATGTTCATCCATATCCTTGCATTTTCAGGTTTGTATACAAAGTGTGGACAAGTTTTATAAGCCTACACAGGGAGGAATGGATGGAGAAGGCAAGGACAGAATTCTTATTTTAACAAAGGTGTCACGAAAGGGCCTGAGCTTAATATTTGGGATGCTGACATTCAGTAAGAGTTCACAATAGATTTTGTGTTGGGAAAGTTCTAAAATGCACATAAGCATTTGTGCTCCCTTGCCCGGTTTTACAAAATAACGTGTGCTTATGCCCTGTGACCACGTGTATGACATTGACCCCTGTGACCTCTGCAGGCAGGGCTAATTAGGGAGCGGAGCCTCATAGGGTGCTCGGCAGCGCCACCTGGCGCCTGTTAGAGATGCAAATTCTCAAGCTCCTCCTTGAAATGAAATGGTTCTCAGTTGGCTCTGCCCTGCAGCGGATGCAGCGCGGCTCTCTGACAAGACAGCAACCTCATGTTCACTTGCCACCCACAGGGAACCAGGGCCACGGCCTTTCCTATGTAGGGGATTTATGAGTAAAATATCGGTCCTCAAATCCCTCTGTTTTAAGGTGACACATGTCTCTCCAAGTGGTGTCAGTGAAGCTGATGGAAATGCTAAGACTGAGCAGCGAGGGCAGGGCACGCACCCAACACACCACCCAGCTTTCCATAACCCTTCACACTGCCAGCTCCCCCCCTGCCCCCGTCGGTCACCCAGGTCTCTTTACACCTTCACAATGGGGCACAAGCTAAGGTGGGCAAGGCCAGTTTCATGCAGTGGTCTCTGGCCTTGCTTTAGGACAGTGGTTCTCAACCTGTGGGTCGCGACCCCTTTGGGGGTCGAACGACCCTTTCACAGGGGTCGCCTAAGACCATCGGAAAACACATATATAATTACATATTGTTATTGTGATTAATCACTATGCTTTAATTATGTTCAATTTGTAACAATGAAATTGGGGGTCACCACAACATGAAAAGCTGTATTAACGGGTCACGGCATTAGGAAAGTTGAGAACCACTGCTTTAGGATTTATAATCTCTGGGCCTCTGGTAGCTGGTTTATTTTTCTTGGCCTTTGGTCTCTTGCAGAAACCCCTCAATAGTAGAAAGGATTAAACGGAACTTTGTTATGCATTTAGAAATAGTTGTAGAAGAGTTGCAGAGATGTAAAGTACAGCATAGGGAATACAGTCAATAATATCCTAATAACGATGTATGGGGCCATGGAGGTACTTGAAATATCGGGGAGAGCACTCTGTAAAGTATATGCTTGTCTAACCACTCTGCTGTATACCTGAAACTAATACAGAATAATATTGAATATA